GCGAAGACAGGACTTATTTAAGGTGAACGTGCAGAAGACCGGCGACTTCAACAACAACAAGCACCAGTCACTATCATCAGTAGAAAAGTAAAAGAAGTTGTCTCTTCCACCTCCTACCTACGCAGGGCAGCATCGTTTCAACTACAGGTGGCGGCACAGGCACAGATGACGATGTCAAAAGCAGGATCAAAAAAGCAAGACAGGCTTTCCTTTAATAATCTGAAATGAGTGTGGAGATCTGCTGCACTGCACCGCACCACACTCAGCGTAAAGAACAAGATGCGGATTTTCAACACTACCTCAGTCAAGTCAGTGCTTCCATGTGATGGCTGAGAGAATTGGCGAGTCCCGAAAAGCATTTCCAAGAAACTACAGACATTCATCAACAGATGCCACCTATGCTCGTTCTATAGTAAAGATCGACTGATTGATGGGACCCTCCCATCATTGAATATATGTAAAAACAATAGCTAATTTTTCGTCTCTTCACAAATAAGGCTAATGTGAACACGACACATCAAATATTAACTACAAGATCGATCAACTAAAACCCCTTGCAGGTTATAATTTGTAGATGATTCGATAGAATGACAGTACAATTTAACTGACGAACAAGTTGTATATACCTGTTTCCCTAAAAAGTAAATATGACCTGCTGGTTAAAAACAGAGGTACTTTGATTGACATGGAAATAACTATGAAGAAGACAAGTCAACAGATTACTTTTTTATGATCCCTAAAAACGTTTTCGACTAGGTCCCTCATCACCTGAAGTACAACACTTTGACTCTGAAATAAGAAAAAAGGAGATAAATAAACCTCTTTAGTATATATCATGGAATCAAGATCTCAGATGAACAGGTTATAGTAAAGGTACCTAATGAAATCTACTAATTACCCTCACTAGTTAGTAACTACTCAAATTGTTAACTAGTAGTATCTCTCACTAATACATAACACTTCTGTCTCTCAGACCAATCACTCTGTGATCTTGACTGAGTGGTTTCTACCAAAAACCTTATTAACACAATAATTGAGGAATTGAAGAAAAAAACACTCACCTGTTAGAAATGTGAACATGGATCATGCATCATACAATTCTGTAGTCAAGTCATTTACAGACTGATTATTCTGATTTAAGTATACTACTGTATGTAAGTGATCTGTAGTGAATCGCTTCAATGAGCTGAATTTGTCTGTGTATACCACTGGTGAGCTCTTCCATAAAACAAGTATAACAGTTGCCTGGTGTTCAGATGACTTTGATCTGGTTGACTAGAACAATACATACCATTGATCAGCTTGACTGATTTCCAACTACTCAACTTGTTCAATAGTAATAATAATCCTTAGCATGATTGATTGTTGAATGAGAGACAGAGAGGACGAGTAGACGAAAGATTATGTGACCTACACAAACAATATCATATACTTAATCGGCTCATTCCAACTAGTCAAGACAATATAAATAAAAACGAAGAATGAATATGAGGATAAGTAAAACGAATAAGGTAAGAGGTGGTTGGTACTTAGAAGGATGAGAAAGAAACGAATAGTGACATAGTTTATCATAATCTTGATGAGAAAATGAAGTTCACGGAAGGATAGGTGTAGTAGAAGAAGAACAAATTGGTTTTGTCTATACATAAAGGTGGTTACAATGTGTGTGTGTATATAGCTATCGCTTCCATACATCTTATTATATATGTGTCCCTGACTGTTTCTGTATAAAACTTTGAACATTAACATTGTGACTTATTCGTATGATCATAATAAGTTTGAGTAAAACTGAAGTGTGATATTTTGGTAGAAGTATAAGTATATGATTTTTGATTAGAAAAGGCTGAACACTGTATAAAATCAAATCAGGCTGAATGTATGAGAAGGAGAATATTAGTTATCTGAGATAATTGAGTTGAAGGAATGATTGTCAGTCTACAAATAGGTGAATTGGACAGGGCAATATGAGTTTCAACCGTTTTTGTTCCATCCAATCCAAAGATTATTATTATTATGATTGTCGTTGTTGTTGTTGTTATTTGTCGCTTGTGTTCCTAGTGGGACATACGGCTTCAGTAGGACGTTGCCACTTCACTCTCTTCTCTCCAGTCTTTTCAACCTCACTCCACGACTGCCCATCACCACTCACTTCTTCTTCACTTCATCTCCTCGATGTCAAGCTTGTCTCGGACACTCAACTCGTCATTTCACATTTGGTTTCCATTCGAGGGTGTGGTATGATATGGCTCGTGATGTCTCCGACTTGTCTTCTCAGTGAATCTCCAGTCCGATCGAACTCCGTTTTCTTCTTCTGCATGTTTGTTTGGTGATGGGTTCTTGGTTGATTCTTTGCCAGCCAGCCAGCCAGCCACAGTTCCTTGTTGCTTATTCTTATTATTCTGGTCATCTGATCTTCAGTATCGAGTGAGCGTAGGTGACAGCTGTTGATGATGTATGTGTGTAGTTTGTTGGAATTTTTTTCTTGACGCGTCTAGTTTCTGAACTATCGCATCGAATCCTTGACTTGAGATTGGTGTTGAAAACCTGATGCTGTTCACGCTTCATGCTGAGTGTAGTAGATCTCCACAGTGATTTCAAATTAATGAAAGCCTGCCTTGCTGTCTTTCCGATTCTGGTTTTGACATCGCCGTTTTTGTTGCCAACTGTAGTTGAAACGGTGCTGCCTATTTAGGTGAATGAGGCTACTTCCTTTGTATGTTGGTCTTCGATGCTCTCGGTAACATCATGATAATCACTACAAAACTCAGCGTGCTTGTGGTTGTCGTCTGGGTGACAATATAGGAGTAGATTATTGACTCTCTAGTTAACAGTTTGGAGAGTCCACTTCCATTCCATCTGCTTTTGCGGATTCCTAGCACTTCTATGCCATACCTTCTCATCTCTTTTGCAATCTGAGAAGCCTTGCTGGATTCATATATGTGCGAACATTCCGTGTCTCTATGGTTATTTTGCTTTCATGGAGAGAAGTGGATACACGTCGTCTAATTGGCTTACTGAAAGTTTTTACCAAGCAGCGTCATTTCCTTTACCCGATTGCAACTGGGAATAAGTTTGTTTTTATGTTTTTTACTTTGTCTGTGCTCTGAAGTTTCTGTAGCGTTTTGATTGGTTTTACGGTGAAGGGTTGCTAGCCGTATGCCTAACCTTCCCTCTTTACCTGGGCTTAGGACAGGCTAGTAACTAGTGAACTAGTTAACCAGGCGAGGTTAAAGGTCACCCTAGTAACTGCTAAAATAACCAATCAGACTTTAGGAATTTTGGATGAAAGAGTATTTTTTTTACAAAAATTAAAGAAGGGCGAATTGGTTATCTCAGCAGCTCTAAGACGGAGTTCTTAAATTCATTCTGATCTGTAGTAAGCTAAAAGGGTATATGGAGAATACATATTAAGATTTGATCGAATAAAATTCACAGAAAATATACAGGTTTACAGTCATCTTTGGGGAGATTTTGCATCCTCAATGGTTCTGACTGAGAAAAAGTGATTAGGGAAGAGGAATTCTTATTAACTTGAAGGTTAACTATATGTACTACATAAGAAGTGGCTATCGTAGCTTGATGGTTCAGTGAATAACGCTCTGGCATTCGAATCGATCAGTCCGAAGCTGCTACATTCGGCTGATGAGTCCCAAGCAGGAGGAGACGCATGTTCTGGATTCCAATGCTAAACAATATCCATCAATAATGCATTAACAGTTCCTTCATAATTGACAAAACCCAAAAAATGAGAAACCTAGATCAAGTCCAGTTTCTCACTTATTGTCTTCAACTAAATAACACCTATCAGAATACAATGGGGTAGTAAGTCTTATAGCTTGGTGGCCAAATTCCAAAATGATCAACAGAATTCAGCTAGTACTCAAAACTAAACAATATGCGATTGATTACTCTCTCCTAATTAATTAATGTACCTAATCCAGTCCCACAGAAGGTCATTTGTGACCTGAATGCCTCAGTGGTAATCTCTCTGACTATACCACAGGGTGTATTGGATTCAAATAGCAGACAGGACATCCGTTACTTTGAGGTCGCAGATATTGCATTGCTGACGAGTGCAACCATATGTGAAACCAAAGTGCACAGCTTCCTACCGATCACCTCCAATCAAAAAATATCATTTTCTTCAAATGGTGACAAGCATAGAAACAAAGTGAAGCAGAGCTTTTTATCAAATGACTCTTAATATTCCCCACTTGCTGGCCTCAGGAAGTACAAATCATGTGCTGAACAAATTGCAACGCTTCGCATCATCATAGAAGAGAGTATAGAATGGCAGTCGATTCTCTACCTCAACTTCATAGACTTTGAGAAAGCCTTTGACTGCGTCGACCGAAAAGTAATTTGGCAGCTGCTTCAACACTACAGAGTTTCACAAACCTTTATCAATCTCATTCAACAACTATATGAAAACGCCACATGCCAAGTAATTCACAATAGGAAGCTCAGTGATGCCTTTGAAGTGAAATGAAGATAGGAGTAAAACAAGGCTGTCTACTATCACCGATGATCTTGCTGATTGTAGTGAAGTGGATCATGCAACAAACTATGAGGAGCGACAATAGGCTCGTTACTGAAGCTCAAATGACCAGAATAATGAGAATAAGCAACGAGGAACTCAGGCAGAGAACCAACCAACAACCTATCGCCCAAAAAATATGCAGAAGGAAGTGGAGATCGATTGAGCATACACTGAGAAGACCGACTGGAGACATCATGCGCCAGGCAATCGAGTGGAACCCAGATAGAAAGCCACGAGTTGAGCGTACGAGGCGAGGATGACTTGGATGAAATTATGTGAGGAAGAAATGAGAGCTTGTGGACATTCGTGGAGCCAGGTTCAAACGTTTGCAGAGAACAGTGTGCACTGGAGACGTGCTATTAAATCCCTATGTTCCATTAGGAACCCAAGGGATAAATAATAATAATAATGTTTACTCAACTATTGTAGCAATCCATTAACTATTCTAATCTCTTTTCAGCTATCTCAGAATAATTTACTAGAGCAATACTTCTTAATCATTCTTCAACATTTACTTAAATCGTTACTTCTAATGAGAACAAATGATGTCATCAATACAAGTGAATATAAATATACAATAAGGATGTATAATACACATTATATCATTGCTATATGGAAGAAACTTATTGAAAATTGTCATTTACTAATTTGTTCAACTAAACCACTTCATCAAAATAGTTTAATCTCCATTGAAACATTGAATCATAAACAAAATTATCGAAGTAACAGTTTTACAACACTATCACATATTATTCAGGATAATAATTACTCACGGAGTAATTTATTCACATATAATCATCATTATCAATGTCTTGGATCTAGTCAACCTGTGATAAATATTGATCAAAGAAATTTTTATAATTTTCCTGTAACACTTGATCCAATCAACATGAGTACATCATTCAGTGATTTTCAATCGATTAATTCAGATAATGATGTAATGAATATAACAGATAGAATTACTACTTCACTTCCTGAAGAGTTTACTAAACAGTCAAATAGCATTAAAGTTGATCTGAAAATCTCTCTTATTCTGAAATGCATAATTGTAAATTAAATTTGAATGTCAAGGAACTAGAGAATATAGAAATTGTTTATCCATATGAAAGTAATACATCAAATCATATATCTCTTGAATCTAGTTCCTCATCTACGATTCCTCCGATACCACCACCGCCGCCACCGCCGCCGCCTCCACCACCACCACCACCACCACTGATCACTTCCTCGAAATTATCACCAATTATAAATACATTCAACAATAATCTATCTAGAGATCAGAAGTTAAGCCATGAAACAACAGAAAATCAAACTGCATTGACATCTAATATCTTATATGGAAATGAAATTAATACACAAAAGTTGAAACCTTTTCGATGGATTAAAGTTCATATATCTGAACAGAATAATAATACAAACAATAAGAATAATAATGTTTTTCAAAGAATATCTAATCAAAATATTAATAAAAAATCAATATACTTAATAAATTATAATAAATTAAATATTCTATTTAATCAACAACAAAGATTTTTCATTAAAAATCCAGAAATGATTACAACATCATTAAAAAAGTTTAACAATTCACTAAATGATGACATCACAACAATTGATACCAATGTTTTTAATGGTTATCAAGAGTTTAACAATTATACCATTACACAAGATAACAAGTTAACCGTATTTCATACTTCTAGTAATAATCAACTTAATGTTTCTACTGTTTATCCTACACGTGGTAGATCACTTTCATCATCACGTACAATGGAATGTATTCAAAAACACTATGAGGTAACTAACTATATATTGATATTAAACTTCATGTTGTATCTTGATATTCCTTGAATGTTAATTATGGTAATTTACTTCGATCTGGGTAGATGAAGATATCAGGATGAATTTCATTTTATTTGCGACTCGTTAGCTAAATGTATCTACATTCCCCACTGCAGAGTGTTACTCCGACTGAGACTTGAACCTCATATCAATCGCTTCAAACACCATGAATAAATATGACTATATCTACAAAATGAATAAGTATATAGAAATAGGAGTATATAAAGAAATTAAGAAATCGACAAAGGATCTGATATACTGAATAAAGCTGCTTTTAGGTGAATCAAAATGGTTGTATGTCGAAAACTAATAATCCAGTCGAATGTATAGTACGTTGAAAATTCATAGGCCAGGTCATCATATCACGTCTACAGTAGATTTTAGAAACACTACAACTTAAGCTTTGCTTAAATATTTACCAATCATGTTAGACCCAATAACAAATCACTCAAAATCTCCACTTACTCACCCTCATTACTTAAACAATACATTACATAAAATACATTTAGATGACAATGAAATAATGGTTAGTTCTGACATAACTAGCCTTTACACGAATACACCAATCGACAGATATAACGGCACAGCCACTTGCAAATAGACTTAAGGAAGACAATGAACTTACTCATCGAACTAAGGTGCCAATCAAAGAAATCATCCTAACAGTTTCACTGTGTCTCACATCTACACTTTTTGAGTTTCAAAATAAAATAAACACAGCTAAACTGATCCGTTGCCATGGGTTCACCAGTATCTTCTATACTTGCAGACATATTTATGGATAGTTGGAAACTGATGACTCTTCAAACATTTAGTCCTATTCCACAGATATATTTCCGATATGTAGATCAGATCGGAACACATCAATGCTTTCAGGCACACAAAAATGCATTAATGAATGCAATCGAATTTATCTGTAACTTAGAAAGTGATATAGGTGAGCCAGCAATATTGTAATACAAGATTGAAAGAAAACAAGATGGAAGTTTACACACTGGTGTTATCTACATGAAAGTTTACAAATTGAATTGCCACTTAGTCTTCAAATCCTCCCACCTCATCTCAGTTAAACGACTTCGTGATAAAGCAAAACACCTTACTGGTCGGCCATAAAATCTACAACAACGAATTAGACACATCAAGAATACCTCACGTCTCAATAATTGCCCACCTACATTTATGAATAAATTCACAAGGAATCGAAACGAAAATATGACCAGTGGTAGTAGTAGAGTGAGTAGTGTGAGTAGTAGTAGTAGTAGTAGTAGTAGTAGTAGTAACGAAGGTGTTATTAAGAATAATTCTACTACTAACAGTAATAAAGGTGATAGGGTTGAGAGAGAATTCAATGTCTCCACCGTGTTACCACACTGGTGAAGCATTACGAATAATTCTCTATAAGATTAGTTGGGGTTAAAGCGGCATTAAAGCCAACATACTCTCAGAAACAAGCTTTATAGGGTAAGAAAAAATCCTATGAATGCAATTCAACAAAATAATCTGGTTTACCAAATCCCTTGCAATGATTGTGAGGTGAAATACATAGGTGAAAGTAATCGACCAAGGTCAATTAGAATAATACAGCTTACAAACTTAGCTAAATCAAGATTATTGACGAAATATATCCATTTACTCATTAACAAGAACAAGGTATGTATCAGCGAAGAAGAAATATTTCTTTTCAACGACTTCATTATCAAGCTGTACAGTCGTATTTATACTCGGTAAAGTGACACTTTCTAGACGTAACTTTAAACAGAGGGGATGATGGCTAGACTCAAAGGTTAGTCTATCGAAAACCAACTTGCACTGGTCACCACTAATTTCAATAGTTGGATACCTCTTGGTTGTAACAGAAATCTCATCCACTCACTGTGTTCCAGAATCTATAGAAGATGTTCAGAAGATACGATGGATGCTGAAATCGAAACTCTTAGAATAATACTATCTAATAATGGATACCCTAAAAGATTGATTGATAAGAATCTGAAGAAACAAACCACTCCCCATCCCATTACAGTCCCTAAGAAAATTTTAACCATGAATCTAGAATTCGAAAGAGATACCACAGCCGAAGTGTTGAAAAATCGTCTGTCAACATGTATCAATAGTAGCTTGTATGCTGCTAGACTGAGATTGATATTCTCCACCTGCCGTCTGATTCGTCAATGCTTGAAGAATACGCTTCAACTTATGTCCACATCTATGTGTATCTACAAGTTCACATGCTCCTGTGGAGCTGACTATATTGGATGTTGTAAGTGGGCCGTCGGAAAACGTGTTGCTGAACACTACCCAGTTTGGCTTACCACAAGTGAACAAAGAAAAACGACTTCATCCATATGTGAACACCCTATTGAATTGGGTCATTCAGCACCTCAAGATTCATCCTGTCAAATAATTTACAAAGTTAAATTGAACTACTCCAAAGGGGTTTACATTTCCACCACCTATGCATAGCTGAACAAAAGGCAAAAACGTTTTGCGAAACCACTTTCTCTGTCTTGGCCATAACAATTCCTTGTTGGTTACTTTTGTCAATTTCACTTCACTACTGTTTGGTATACTTCTCTTCTATTACCATCATCATTATCACCAATTTTCATTTCATTGACAACATTCGACCCATATTTCACTATTGAATATTATCAATTCATTCCCTATTCATTGACTTATTTTACATGTTCCAGGTTAATTATCACCATTGTACAACACACCTTTGACAACACTTATCTCTTATCTTATCACTTGTTATCAATTCGTTCCTCCTTATTCAGTGACCCATTTTCTATCTGTTCCACTTGAATAAATACCACCACCCCTCCACCGATTGTATATTTTGCATACTGACTTAGCAACTCCCTTTTCAGTGCAAATAAATGTGACTGTACAGCTTGATAATGAAGTAGTTGCAAAGAAATATTTCTTCTTATCTGATACATAGCTTGTTCTTGTTAAATCAAGATTAGTAGATCCTAACAAGATAAGAAATATAGAGAAAAGCTCGGCTATGGCTCTATATGCGATGACACACAATCATACAGTGAGGTGTTATACAGAGATAGCGTTATATATCGTGAGCTAACAGAAGTTGGAAATATGAAACATTGGATTGTGACCCAGTGGCTCAATGGTAACGCGTTGGCCGGGGGACCTGAAGGTCGCGGGTTCGGTCTCTGCTGGTGGGGTCGTGGGTGCGCACTGCTGAGGAGTCTCATACCAGGACGAAACAGATGTCCAGTGCTCCCATGTTCCCTTTGTTCCTCCAACTGATGTCAGTCTACGGTGAATAACAACTTGAAATAATTCCAAACCTTCACAACTCCCTCAAAATTTAGTTAAAAACTAACTTAAATGGGTGGAAGAAGAGATTGACTAATGAATCTTCAATAACTGAAATGATTCTCCACCTGTCCCAGACATTTGGAAAATTCTACTCCCCAAAGAAGGAGAGAAAATTAGGATTATATGATCTCTGTATCAAATATGTTGTGGAGTTATGTGTTGATATGAATATAGACAATAAATTGTGTTGGAAACACGTAGTCCAATGAATGATACTATTCCTTGACTGTGTGAAATTTCAAATAAACAGACTTAAATGGGATTGTAGGGCATTCAAGTTGAATATGGAGATATTCCTTCGAATTTCAATGGTTGGTGTTCAGTGAATTCAATCAGTTTCCTTTATATCATGCAAATGCTAAAGTAACACATCAAGATATGTTCATTTACATCTCCGTTATTAGTGAATTATCATGTAATGATGCAATCATAATCAATCTTTAAATTCTAACATATTCATTAACTTATGAAACTGAAAGGTTATTTACTTCCATCTGATAATGAGAAATAGTTCAAGAAAGTGTCATCAATGATTAGAAAACAAGTCAATAAATTATAGTTTTACATCTTTTGAGTAAACATCATTCAAAAGCTATTCTACTTAGAAAGATGTTATTGTATTCAATAATAGTATATGAAATACTAGGACAAAATAGCTGTCCAGTGCTCCAAGGTTTCCTTTGTTCCTCCAACTGATGTCAGTCTACGATGAATAACAAGTTAGAATTATCTTTTTTAAAACATTTCAGTAATGTTCACCTCCCATAGGATTGAATTAGATAACTCGATTAGTTACTGGATACTATCAATTCTATATTATATAGTCTTGAGTGTTAACAGAATTCTATTGGTCAGTTTTACATCGTGGTCATCAAGTTAGGCGACTGACCTTCAGGGTACATTTTGATTCGTGGCAACCAAGTATATACGTAACCTTGAGGGAAATGTTGTCATTTGATGAATTGGAACCCTTATCAGTCAAAGGCTTTATAACTAGATTAGACAACATGTGAAGTTAATCATCCTACTGTGATTAATCTATGTATTATAAAATTGTTTTACATTTTCTAATCATAAACAATTGATAATAGATAAAGATTGTCTGCTTTCCTTTACCTTCATGATATTTATTATAGCCAAATCTATTGGAAAGTCAAAGATGTTTGAATATCAATATTTTTCTGCGTCAATTTCGACATATTCATATCAATTTATTAGATTCAATTAATCAGTGTGATGGTAGTTTAATTGGAGTAGAACGATTAAGGGATTTAATTAAATTGTTACCAACAGATCATGAAATAAAATGTTTTAAAAATTTTCAAGGTAATATAAATTATATGGATCCTGCTGAAAGATTCTTTTATGATTTAGTTAGAATACCGAAGTGAGTTGTGTATTTAAATTGTATAATTTTTCTGTATACACTTACAGTTTCAACACTTTTGTACAAAAAGGTTATGAAGTTGTTATTCATCGTAGATAGACATTTGTTAGAGGAACAAAGGAAACTTGAGAGCACTGGATAGCTGTTTCATCCCACTCGATGGGATTCCTCATCAGTGTGCACCTACGTCCCACCCACCCCACCCCCAGGGGTCGAACCCGCGACCTTCAGGTTCCATGGCCATCACGTTACCATTGAGCTAGTCACTGGGTCAGAATCGAATGGCCCATATTTACAACTTCTGTTAGCTCACGATGCTCATTGGTGACTAACTTCGAAAGTTGTTCCCAAGTTCCAATGAGAAGTTGTGACCAGTGGGGGCAAAGCCTGGTAGTGGTGAGGACAGTTACTCAACGATGACATTGGGTAGCGATTGCGCTATATCGTGAGCTAACAGAAGTTGGAAATATGGACCGTTGGATTGTGACCCAGGGGCTAGCTCAATGGTAACGTGCTATCCACGGAACCTGAAGGTCGCAGGTTCGATCCCTGGGGGATGGGTGGGAAGTGGATACGCACTGCTGAGGAGTCCAGTCGAGTGGGATAAAACAGCTATCCAGTGCTCTCAGGTTTCCTTTGTCCCTCTATCTGATGTCAGTCTACGATGAATAACAATTTTCAATATTTCCAAATCCCCACAACTCCCTCAAAATTCAAAAAGTTATGAACCTTAAGTGACTGTAGTGGTTTGGATATGTACTGCGTATTCCAAGCCACTGCTTACGTCAACACGCTAACCGACATTTAAAGTGACTAACCAGTAACAGGCTAGTGAAACTTAACTCCTAACACGCTTACTTATAATAGCATTCATCTAGTAGCTGTTGTACATTCTTCTGTAGATCTTAAATGATCGTTCAAAACTGTGGGATATCTGTCTCTATCAACGTATAACTCAGTGATAACATCACTGACTCCAACACCTGGTGACTCAGGCTCCAATCTTTCAGAGGAGAAAACAAATTCCTTCTAGTTTTAGATACGAAATCGCTGCTGATGGCCAGTGGTAATTAATGGAATCAAAGGCGTGTGTTTCGTCTTGTTTTGAACTTGTGAACTGAGTGTGCCTGCCTCTCAGTGAGAGGTACTGTTCATCCTCTGAAGCTGTATGGAAATAGATCACAAGATGGTATTCTTCACACCATTAAGAACCTGGGAACACTAGACTGTTGTTCCGTCCTGCCATGGGCCTCCTCAGCAGCGCGATCTTAAAGCCTAGTTAAGGATCGAACGCAGGACCATTTGGTTCCACAAACAGTCACTAGGTTGAAATATAACGCTCCATATTTTTTTAACTTCTCTCAGTTCGTAATATAGCTCCACCCTAATCTGGCGCCATCGTTGAGTATCTGTCCTGAGGTCCGAATCGGCTTACCTCACGAGTCACAAAGCATCATTAGAAATTACTGAAATCTTAGCTCGTATTATGCTACTAATGATGTTTATTTTGCACATACGGTTGAAGTTTCGAGTGTTAAGTTACAAATGCAAACAACATACACAAGTCGTAAACTCCTATAACGGGTAGTGCGATCTAACACTCTACGAGCGATACACACCGAACGCGCAAACGAATCGACACTAAATGCTAACCAGAACGTCAACCACAACAATAACAATGCCACCGGCATGCGAAGACAGGAAGAAAAGATGGATCGTTGAGAGAGAACTTTTTTAATGTCTCAAGAAAAGTCAAGATAGTTGAGAGTAATGCTGAATATATACATTTCCAGGCGACCTTGACAATACTAAGTCTACATTTAGGTTAAAGTAGTTCACAACCAATAAGAGCTCAGCCTTGAGAGCAGTGAGAAAACAAGAACTAGTAACGATGTGAAAATAGTCTTGATAAGTTGTTTTAAGGTCATAGGCAAACATCAGGCAAAAGTTATTCAAAACTAAGGGGTGAATAGCATAAACACAGTTTTCGTATGCCATAATACGTCAGAAAATCCAGCTGGAATATGCACGTCGTACCTGGTGTCCATAATTAACTCTGAAACAGTAAATTAGCAGATAGATAAGCTTATAAAGGTGGCATAAACTGACATTCTGTCATTTCAAATTAACACAAATATGTAACATGGAATAAAACTCGTGATAAGTCTCACGGTTGTAGTAGCAGTTCTTTAAATATTTATTCCTATTACCTACAACATCTATTTATAATGGCCTCAATCTATATTGCTGTGAACAGTACCAAATGAAGAGTGCTAAATGCTTGAACACAGATATTCACTTGAATTACATGATTAACTAAAGACGTGCTGATCCCCGAGATCGTCAATATGGGTTCTTTTGGTCACTGAAGCTATAAGCATAAGAATTTATGATGAAATAGATGTTTGTCTGGCGTAATGTGACACTATGAAGACGAGTCAAACATGTCAACTGTTTGTAACGGAAATTTGGAATTTTGCGCCATCTTGGTGGCACTTATATTGAAAAAAAATGACTGAAAACGACTGAAAACTTTAACACTGTATATACGGAATATTGATATTTCCTTGTTCATTTTTATAGCAACAGAATGTTTTGATGTTTTTAGTAGGGTTTAATGATGTCCCTTTTTGTCCCATTCAAGACCCGTAAAATCTGATAGATTTTTCAACAAACATCAATGTGATGATGCATATAAACTGGCTTCTCTCATGTTAAATACACAATGTGAGAATAAAATGTTCATCTTCATTTTGACTATTTGAGATAACTGTGGTTTGGTAGACTTGAAGTATTTAACGGGGTGATGGTTGAACGTGACGGACAAAACCCAATGGTGATTGAAGTAAAATAAAAATCTGGTCAGCAGTCGACTTCGTAGATCAGTTGGTAGAGCATAGGGCAGGAACCCAGTGGTCGTTGGTTCGAATCACGCCACGGTTCAAATTTTATTTTACCTTCAATCATCACCCAGAATAATAATTATTATTTATCTATTATTTTTACGTAAAATGAAGTGGAATTGAAGTTTCACTTTCTGCTAAGACCCTGAGTTACATATCCTAGCCATTTCTGCATTAGAAGTAGTATTCATCACGAACTGATATCAGTTAGGGAACCATTGAAAGTCTGGGAGCACTGGACAGCTGTTTCATCCTAGTATGGGACTCCTTAGCAGTACTCACCCACTACCAGGCTAGGATCGAACTCAGGACCTTCAGGTTTCACGACGAACGCGTTAACCATCCAGCCATTGGGTCGGTTTCCAGTGGTTCACAATTTCCAACTTCTTTCAGTTCACGACACCCAAGGTCTTCCCCTTCAGTTAGCATCCACTCACTTCCGACTGGTTGACCCCACAGGTCACGGCTTCTAATTAGAGCTTCGTGATATGCATCTGGAAGCAAGTCACTAATGAGGACTATACAGTAATGTATTTTTGAAATGAATGGGAATTTTTTAATTTAGAAGCAGTATTCATCATGGACTGATATCAGTCCCCATTCATCTCAAAATACATCTCTGCATTAGTCAAACTGATGACTTCAGTAAATTTTTAATAGGTATAAACAATGAAAATTCAAATCATCATCAAGGTCATTTCTTAAATTCAACGTTCAATGTTTTTATCTGAATTACTATCTCCTTTCAGGTATTATCTTAAAGTTGATAGTATGTTATTGAAAGAGGAATTTCAAACAGCTATCAGTTGGATAAACTGGCTTTGGAGAATGTCATGAAAACAAGTCAAGGTAACGTTTCTTTACCCATTAAAACTGTTACATTCAATTTTGAGGAAGTTGTGGGGATTTAGAAATATTTCAAGGCTGTTATTCAACGTAGACTGACATCAGTTGGAGCTAACAGAAGTTGTAAATATGGGCCATTCGATTCTGACTCAGTGGCTAGCTCAATGGCCATGGAACCTGTAGGTCACGGGTTCGATCCGTGGCGTGGTGGGGTCATGGATGCGCACTGGTGAGTAGTCCCATCGAGTGGGATGAAACAGCTATCCAGTGCTCTCAAGTTTCCTTTGTTCCTCCAACTGATGTTAGACTACGATGAATAACAACTTTATAATCACTTTGTAGGGTACAAGATTCGTAAGTTTAGAAATTCTTATCTTGAGGAGCCAAAACTGTTGTAAGGCCGATCGATGCAAATCACAATGAGAATTATTGATCTATCTGTTGAGAAGGAGAATTCTGATGAAGCTATCCAGCGTGGTGATGAGAGGCCCAAGAAAAAACATAGAAGCTAAGGAAACAATGAAAAGATATATCTTGAGCGACAAATCTTCTCTGCAATCATGAAAAACTGCTCAAAGTCTGTGGTATATCCATAATATAAATAGTACCTGTACATCTTTTAAGCTATATGTTGTAAGTATTCGTCATTGGCTACTGTGTATATAAATGTCTTGATATGGCCTATTGGGTAAAACTTTGTCGCTTGAACCGATTTGTTCCCGGGTTAGAACCCTAGTCATAACAACACCACTCACTGGGAGACAGGTACATGAGGCTGAATACTTCGGAATTATTTTCAAGCTATACATTCCTACATATATGAAATTTGAAAAGTAAACACCATACGATGATGATGACATATGTATTTGTGGTTATGATAACAACTGAAGTATAACGATAACAGGGTAGATTATGTAATATATGGAATGGTTCATAGAAGGTGTATAAGTCAGAAAGGGGTGAGAAAATTCATGAAAGTGGTAGATCAACTAACTATTATGTGACAGGATTAGACAAACTGGTCAAGATGAAATCAATGTTCTCTAAAAGGATTAAGGCAGTTAGGGAAATAACACCGGAAACTAATCAAAGTGAAGGCAATCACAAAAACAATAATAGTGATAAAGGGAGGATACAAAGGTTAAATTAACAAACAGTGGTGGGAGGGGGAAGAAGATAGTAGGGGGTGGGTAATGGTCATAGCCATGGTAAAAACAGTGACCACTGTACACACTTCTTTTGTAACACAGATCAGGTTTTAGTTCATGAATAGCTACAGTTTCCGCTGTTTTAAGAAGTTGAAAACGAAGAGGACGTAGGAGGTTTGGGTGAATTTGATAAATAATCTTAAAGTCATTGTCTGGGTTTGTTGAGTGATGGGAATCAATCAAATATTCTACAACAGAACTTCTAACAAACTTTCTTTCACCTTTATAAAACCAAGTTGGAACACGTTCTCATAGAAAGCATTCTCTGGATACAGACGATGTACCTAGCTCTAAAAGAGCAGGTGAACTGGTAGATGTACATGAAACTGTGATCCATTCCATATATTACGTAATATCATTCCTACTTCGAATGTTGTCATAATCCCAAATACCTATGTCATCATCCATTTTATTATGATTGTTATCATCATCATCAAATAGCGTTCAGTTTTCCTCACGGGATATAATTTTTCAAATATCATATGTACATATACGGATGTACACCTTGAAAATAAATTCGTCATGAAAGAGTCTCTACGCTGAATGTCTTATTGTTGATATGTTGTAATCAAATAGCTTTGTATGAATTGGAAAAATAGATGGAACTGTCGAAAAATACACTTTCCCTATAACAAATTTGTAGAAATGCCTAAACTGTTGTCGATTACAATATGACTGACCGTGTAGTGTAAAAACGTGTTTATTGAAAGTAGAATATAGAAAGCACAAAGTAGAGTAGAAAAGTACTTTAATAAATGTGCTGATATACTTATTCGAATTACGTCGAAATTTTCACTAAGAATTTATACAAACATATACATCTCTATGAGGATTCAATGTAAATTATTTCATAGTAATTGGTTTCTATACAAACTACTGGATGCATGAGCCTATTCGATATTCCACAATCGATATGGCCTGATTATAATTTATGACACAGTTCGCCTAGTGGCAATGGAATTCAGGACACGCATTTCCACCTATTTGGTAATCATTAGCTGAATAATAGTGCAAAAGAGGTAGGTCTCATGCCTCAGTAGCCAAGTGGATGATACTCCGGAGTATGAAGCGATAAGTAAGTGGCTCGAGTCTTGATGAGAACAGCATTGTTCACTTCAGTAGAAGTACATGCGGCTGATAAGTCCCTAATAAATCGCAACGCACATCCTGGATTTCCTACCAGTTACCATAATGAATATAACATCATAAATACCTGAAGTGTCAAGCCATCCAGATGGGATTCCATCTGTTAACAAAGGTCGAGTAACACAAACCTAGAAATCAACATGGACTTATTATGGTGTAGTTTTCAATCACTGATCACTGCTTTTCACTACAACATTGCGGTGTATGTGTATTGCGGATGCATTAAAAAGGATAGTAAAAGGCTATGAACCTCCTTTTTCATATTTTCTATCACTCATCATTTAAACTTGCGAACATTCTGTATAAAACTCATCTATCCTGAAGGTCTTGGAAAAATTACGCTTATACATGCCAATAATTACTGGTTTCAATTTCTAGATTTGTGTATGAATTACTTCTAAACAATAGACAATATATGACTACTGATATGAGTAGTATGGATTATTAGAGAAAAGGAATTCCTGCTTAACATATTGTGATATTATATTGTAATGATTTGTTGACTTAAGTATGAACCAACTTATTGATCTGAAAACAACAATTGGCTAGCTTATTCATCAATAGAGGATTATTTCTAATTCTATCTCACAGATCCAAGTCAGGTAGTCAACATTTCTCAATACACCTGATACCAACAATTTGGTAATTTATGAATCCTCATTCAACTGAATCCAACTCCACCCATCATGATATGTTGAAGTAAGCAGATGTAAATTAAGCAAGCCATTTTAAACTGACATAGCCAACATACAATCAGTCATGCAGTATTATTGACTTGTTGATGGCTCCAGCATAAATTACTTATTCCTCCTAATCAATCTCGGTGTGTTGCATAGATGTTGCGTCATTCCTGTTGCACAACTATTGAGTGATGGTTGACTCGATGAACAAAGATTCAGTAATCAATCTCTCACTCTCCCTCCACCTAGATATATAGGATTGAGTATAGTGGTTTTATCCACCACCCTATGGTGTATGTGGTATGTTAATGTGTGCAATACAAGATACGAGTTTTTTCCTAGATTATTTATCTTATTCGAGTGTGTTATTCTATGGTGGAGAATACTTTAGCTCAGATGGATGGTCTTGGTTGTATTGTATTCTGTGAGGTTTAGTCGTGAAGACGCTTTCATCGTCTTACCGGACGACATCATCCACAGCCCTAACTTTAATATGAAGTAGTGAGCTATCGATATCTCTCTATGAGTGATTCATTAACTTGCCCTGACCAAATGGTTTGTGCGTGATTGGTTGTTTTCTTAGATTGTGTCATTGACTGACTGCATAAATTCGAATGTTGGCTGTCCCTATGCTCAACCATGTTCACCTTTCTCATGGCTGTCTGTCTATCTGATGCCTATCTCTTATTGGTTGATACATTCGGTCTATATCTATACATCTGTTGATTGCTCACTGCCTGCCTGACTCCCTGACTGACTAACTGACTAATCTGAATGACAAGCTTCTAGCAATTCTCTCATGATATTCTTTGTATTTCCCCTCTACATCCAACATTTCTACATTCTCCAAATTCAATTCATCTCCATGCTTGTTATCCACATACATTGAAATGAGTGATGAAATGTTGTGTGTGACATTCAATAACCAATTGGCGTTGATGTAAATGACGAAGGTGTAGGTGGGTGACCACATTCTCCTATGTAGTGTTGACTACAGTTATTCCAGTTGATTTTGTGAATGATATTCTGTTTGCCTTCTTTGGTTGTTGCATCCTTTTGCTCTGCACAATAGTGTTTGAAGGGAATTTGTTGATTAATGAGTGGTCACATGAATTGAAACAAGTGGTCTCAGTAATCTTGTCGTCATTCCTCATATATCCTTTATGTACCGTAGGATGATGTGTTTGTAGATTTCTGTCAATGGTTTTGTAGATGATGTTGTACGGCATAGGCATCTTGTGATAAAGTTTCGTGTGTAGCCATTCTTCTTGAGGGTGGACATCAAGTAGTTTTCTTGGTTTCTCGGTGAATTTGTTGTACTCCACTGGTGTGTGTTCTCGCTCTTCTGAATACAGCCTGCATACAGTTGATTTTGTGTATCGTTGCTACTGCAGTTGAGGTCTTGGTCAGTAAGTGTATGTTGGCTTCATGTACACTTGGGTTTCCAGCTTCCTGGTATTATCCTACTGACTGAAACATCCAGCAATGCTAGTTGGTTGTGTTCAACTCCTTCTCCATTGTGGATATGATGTCATAAGCGAAAACGTTGTTGATCAAATTGTGAGTGTTCACTATATCATCTCCTCCTTAATGATGACAAAAGTGTCGTCTACACACCGAATTAAATTTTCGGTTCAGTCATAGGTAGAATGATCGCTTCCACTTTCCACCGCAGTCAGTGCTTCCTCAATCAGTTTGGTTATCGATGACCCCATGGAGTTCCTTTCATCTGTTTGCACATCTTACCATTGTCATTCTATATTTAGATAAATTCCTATGTTTGGTTAATTCAACGCATCCCGATCGGCTAGTTTGATCAATATACTTGACTTGACAATCATTACATAGAATTTGGTAGCTTAGTTTATTTCGCTGAACTGGATCTATGGAATCATCAAACCGACAAAGTTAATTGCAGCCTCGTTGAGAGTCCGACATAAAGTTTCTGATGTTCATTCCCTGTATAATAGTAACACAATAGAGGCTATGATGTATGAAATATATATACCCATAATGAATTGAAGTAAAAACAAGTCAGTGTAATTCAGCCAAGGGTCTCTTTTCACCGATTTCATTTTCAAAGCTGAACATAATTTATACACTTTATTTCTAGTGTAAAATTTGATAGTGAAAAACGGTTTATCAAGCATATAGCAGAAAACACAAATAATGTCAATCAATAAGCTGTCGTTAAAATAAATAAAAGGGCTGAAAACTGATGAGTAGTAAATATTAATCAAAATCAGTTTGAATAAGAAGTTTTGGAAAGTGAATTGTGATCAGGTAGAACATAGTAAGAAGAATGAATAACAAATTGACTAAGTAATGATAGGCAGTGGCTAGCAGTGGAATCCAGGATGCGCATTTCGTCCTATTTGGGACTAACCAGTCAGCTGGATATATCTGCTTCCCAGTGAGTGATGTTGTTCCCACCGGGACTCGGGAGTGGTCGCTTCAAACGCCAGAGCGTTATCCACTACACCACCTAGCCACGATAGCCACTTCTTGTACGACGGTATAGGTTTAGTGTTATTGCTTGTATTACACCGTCGTTGATTGGACCGAATTGATCAGTCTCTGTTGGCATACGGGTTCCTATGCGGATGCCTCGAGATTGCCTACCTTTTAACTATGTTTAGCAATGATGGGTGTAATACAAGGAATAACACTAAATTAATTAAGAATTAAAAATAGTGAGCTAACAGAAGTTGTAAATATGGAGCATTGGATTCTGACCCAGTGGCTAACTCAATGGTAACGTGATGGCCATGGACCTGTAGGTCACGGGTTCGATCCGTGGCGTGGTGGGGTCGTGGATGCGCACTGCTGAGAAGTCCCATACTAGGACGAAACAGCTATCCAGTGCTCCCAGGTTTCCTTTGTTCCTCCAACTGAAGTGAATAGTTTTAAAACAGAAAAATGAAAAGAAAAAAAGGGGGGAGTAGAGTAGACTGACACCTAAGACCATGAAAGGAGAAAGGATTCAACAGTCTTCTTTTATGTACACAGTTTAGGCTTGTCTATTTAGATGGCAAAAGTTTCAGTGATGCAGAGAATACGGAAACATACAACCTTTGGCAAGTTTTTTTTCACTGTCTAAATGACTTTGAATGACAAGATTGTTGAGATTAAAGGACTCATCTCCATGATGTGTTCAATTCTAGCACTTCTAATTGAGTGCATGTTTGCCTCTTCTTAACCCCCATGAAATGTTTATCACTTCAGTTGCCACATTTTAAATCTTTACCAGTGACTTGATGGATTGTAAGTTAGCTATATGTACGTGTGTGTGGATGGTTGAACAATTAATTTCAGATTCCACGTTTGCTGATCAGTCAGTTTCTCCGTAAATAGAAAAGGTGATCATATAACAAAGGGTGTATTTACGACGTCAAACGTCGATAATATATACATAATAAAAGGTTTTATATATATATATATATATATATATATATATATATATATATATATATATATATATATATATATACATATCTTACCATGGCCCTGGCTACTTCTAAGCCTTTCTAGATTGAAATCCTGTTGATTTTTCATCTCTTCAACCAATCTGATACTTACACGTTGATTTATGTGTTTCTTCCCGAAATTTTGAAGCAAAGGCGATTGGTTGAATAATGCTTTAACTGTTTACAACTAATTATAAAGATTTTGGCTTTCTTATTTCACACTATAACAAGAATAATATTCCTAAACTCTTTTGGATAACATTCGCGTCGAAACGATCTGTATACCTGGCTCCATAAGACCAGATGAATTGATATATGCATATAGAAATGGTCAGATGCCAAGGTTTATCTTTCAACTTGTTAGAAATCATTGCCTGACAAATCTTAAAGAGTTACATATCCTTCTCTTTAAAGTGTTAGCAGGAAAATCATCTATGATCTATGATTATTATAAATGTCTTTCTTTTGTAAGATGGATAGTTTCATTTTGTAACGTTATTTACCAACTATTCATAACTATTTTTCTGGACTTTTTCTTTCATTCCAGAGATATTAAACTCTTCATTAATATGTGATTTACTTCAAACCGTTTTGGAAATTGGTAACTATTTGAATAAAGTAAGGAAATTTTATCATAAATTTTATGTTGTTTTTCAAATTCTTGTTAGTTAATGTATGGTCGAACTAGAGAATGGATCATTGAAAGATGACATCAACTGGCAGATATATGAATGATACATCTATTTTATTATTGACCAGAATATGGATCAGAATAAACTATTAAGGAAGTTTAACACCATACACTCGTAAGTAGACAAGAAGGTGGATCACTTTGTAGCGTAACATACTTCCATAAAATCAATAGCCTAGGTGCAACAACCAGTGAATGGAACGTTAAAGGAAACTGACGATCGTGATTGACGTACAATTCGATTTATTGTATTTTATTTTTCATTTGCCACGACACCCTAGAATAAGTTTAGACAACCAGGGGCCACTTCTCTCAGTGAGCTCAGTGGATTAATCACTGGGTTTTTACTTCCGGCTGGTATCGTCTTAGGGTCCTCACGAACCGACCAGGGGGGGGAGTGATCTGTAGTGTCACACACTTCCCTCAAATCAATAGCCTAGAGTTTGACGAGATTCAACATTGATGCTGACCTTGATAGTTTAACTTGACTCACTAAGCTGAAGGCACACGGTCAAGCATCCTCGCCATTTGGCACGCTGTCGTGTTACTTTGCACTGCTCGTAATCGACTCTCTAGCCAGTTAGATGGAACGCATAGGTATCTTGGCACCACCTCGCAAATATACTATTCCATCCGACTACGCTATTGTGTTCTTTCTCGGTCTCGTATTCTTAGGTATATAGCAAGTTCGAATAATTAGTGATCAGCCTCTGAGTCTGTCAAGTTCGCACCAGGACAATTCCCAAAACTTCACAAAAGATGTACAGAAGAAATAAACCTGCATGTCAATATACACACACACGCTTCCTTAATTTCACTCTTAGTGAAATGCTTGACAATCAGGGTAAGGAAAATCTGTTAGTTGACACTCTACAGAGTGAGTTAAAGTGGATTTGGAATTCATTAATGGAAGTAGGTTATCCTCACAATTTTATAAAAAAACATGATTAGACCGGTGAAAAGACCTGATGCAGCAGCCGTTCGAAAGTAAACATCATTCATAGAGCTACAATTTAATGGTGATATACTTAGTGAGATTCTACTCCATAGTCTGTCGAGAACCATTCAAAGAACTTTTCTTACAGCTTATCTTTGTCTATCGTTTTCTAGTCGAAGATTTTTTTCATGTCACAAACGAAGGACAAGTAGCTACCTAGTTTCGCCACTCCCATGTGTATTTACCAGTTTAATTGCTTCTATGGAGACAATTATATAGGGTGTACGACTAAGCAACTTCACTAACGCGTATTACCGAACACCTTGAAAAAAGACAGGCCAAGAATCTCTGATTTGTCACATCTAGTTGATAGTGATCAAAGGGTAGATAAGACGAAACGTTCAAAGTGATTTACACCACATCCTACTGAACCTTTCCGATGGAGTTTGAATCAACCTTTCACGTATAACTGAGGCTATACATCCTCGTTGTCCTATTTTTCTTCAATCTTTGACCTACTTTGTCTGCCCATCTGTTTGAACACCATTATACATTGTCGTGTTTTGTCATGATGAACATCTGCATTAACCTTTATACAATCCGTTTCCTCATTGTCATTGCTTGGTTGACATTTTGGAAGTTATGTATAATAGAGTGAATCCTGATGAGATCTAATTGAAAACAATATTGTTCATTTACATGTCTTGATTTAATTTTCATAATGGGAAGTTTTAGTACTTTCAATAAAAAATCTATTATTTATAGTGAATGATATGTGTATCACTTCTAGCAAAGTTGTTACCTTAATTTCCCATCGTTGTTTGTAGCAAACAGAACGGCGATTATTGGCAAGGCTGCCTACTATCACCCATGATATTCCTGATTGTAATGGACTAGATCATGCAACAAACAGTGAGGAGCGAGAAGAGGGGATACGCTGGACTGCCGAAAAGAACCTATAAGATTTGGATTTCGCCGATGATGACTTGTGTCGAATGTCACACAAACTTGAAGATGTACAGGCGAAAACTAACAAGTTGACAGAAAAGGCGAGGCAGCGAAGACGGGACTTTAAGTGAATGTAGAGAAGACATGGGTGATGAAGATACCCAACCAACAACAACAACAAACACGTATCACCATCAACAGTAGAAACTTAAAGGAAGTAGTCTCTTTCACCTACACCTATCTGTCTAGGCAGCATCTTCTCAACTACAGTGGCACAGGCACAGACGATGACGTCAAGCAAGCCAGGATCGGAAAAGCAAGACAGGCCTTCATTAACCTGAAACTAATGTGAAGATCTGCACTCAGCATAAAGCGTGAACAACCGGATTTTCAACACTAATGCCAGTCAAGTCAGTGCTTCTATGGATGATTGAGAGACTTGGCGCGTTACGAAAGAGATTTTCAACAAACTGCAGAGATTCATCAACAACTGCATACGCTGGCCGATACTGAAGCTGAGATGGTCAGAAAGAATAAGCAACGAGGAACTCTGACTGGAAAGGAACCAACCAAAAACCTATCACTCAGCAATATGTACTGGAAGGAAGTGTAGATGGATTGGGCATACACTGAGAAGGCCGATTGGGGACATCATGCGCCAGGCCAGCTTCTCTAGTGGAATCCAAATAGGAAACGACGAGTTGGGCGTTCGAGGCGAGGGTGGCATGGAGGAGATGATGTGAGGAAGAAATGAGAGCTTCTGGGCAGTCCTGGAGCCAGGTTCAAGAGTTGCAGAGAACAGAATACACTGGAGAAGTGCTTTTGAAGCCGTATGTTACACTAGGAACCCAAGGGACAAATAATAATAATATATTGGCAATATAAGCACCATCGTGGTATGTCTCAGTATTGTCAATAACTCCAGCTAGATAGTAATGATCAGTAGTGGCCGATATTGGAATCTTGGACGTGTGTTTCTTCCCGTTTTCGATTTGCTAGTCAACTAGATGTATCTGCCTTCCAGTGAATGATGTTATGCTCACCAAAAATCGAGCTGAAAAATGATTGCTTCAAACGCCTCATGGTTGTCTACTATGCCATTACACCCTTAGTTATTTTAGTGAGCATCATATGTTCTTATTGTCAAGATTGTCAATAGCGGACAGTAAGTTAAAGAACATACTGAATGAAGATAAATAGAAATCACTTTGACAATACACCCGAAAGTACTTAACTCAACTAGACCTCATAGTATGGTGATTTCAGCACAATCTGTGAATGAATTATGAAATCTATAAGCATGCTAGTAGCGCATTAGATCACATGACCGTTATTATGTTATCACTGTTCAAATCGAAAATATTTAGCATTATTATTATTTCCTTTGGGTTCCTAGTGGAACATAGGGCTTCAGTAGCACGCCTCCATTGCACTCTGTTCCCTGCAGTCTTTTCAATCTGACTCCACGACTGCCCACAAGCTTTCATTTTTTCCTCACACCATCTCCTCCATGTCACGCTCAGGTGGGACATCCAACTCATCGTTTCCCATTTGGATTCTACTCGAGGACCTGGCCTGGTCTGGAGCATGTTCTCCCCAGTTCTCTTTCTCAGTGTATGCCCAATCCATCTCCACTTTCTTCTAAAATACTAGAAAATATACGTAACATTCAATAAACTATGAAGGATATGGGAACAAATATTATATTTTGTTTGAATGTGAAGAATTCCAATCTGGATCCTTCAGAAAAGTTTGAAATCTTTGAAAACGTTCACAATCAGATAAGCTATAATGAAGTTGAGCGAAAAGTTACATCATTATCTATACTTTTATCTGATTGGTTAAAATCTTCCTTATAGAAAGATGTGGAAATAATCGGAACTACGGAAATTAGCTTTCAATATTGTTGATTTGAAAATAAACCAGCCTTTTGTTGTATTACAGATTTCATCTTTTTCAATGAATTACATGATCACCAAGAACAAAGTTTGAAGGTCTAGTGTTGAAATAGATGTTATTAGTTGAAGTTGAATCATCTGCAAAACTGACTAATCTCTCTTGACATATGGTCTTCTGCACAAACGCCTCGATATCACTTGTAATTTCTAGTGGATTTCACTGCTAGCCACTATCTATTATCACTACCAGACTGAAATTAAAGGCGATATGGAGACATCCATGAAGGAGTCCTTATGTCAACAGAGACCAATAAATTCACTCCAATCAACGAAGGGATAACATCAGCAACATCCCAATAAGTGGCTATCATGGCTAAGTGGTCTGATGAATAACGCTCTGGCGTTTGAAACGACCGGTTTCAGGCTCTAGTCTTGGTGGGAACAGTACCACTCACTGGAAGGTAGGCAGATCCAGATGACGAGTCCCAAAAGGGCCAAAAGCCATTACTCACCATTACTATTCAAACACTTTGTTTTCCATCATTCTTGCAAAAAAAAATTCAAAACCTCTTAAAGTCACCAATCGTGTAGACTCTTTTCTAAAAGGATTTTATAAGTAGGGAAAGTTTTCAGTTTTACAAATGTAAAATATACGGTTGACAGTAGTTATACAGTCTAATTCAGTAAAAAGTAACAATCATCCTCCAATTTTACTAAAACTTGATCTAGTTGCAATTATCTTAAACATATGATACTTTTGATTCACGCTTAAAGTTGACCTTGAATGTGATTGGTCTACAGAAAACTTGCCCAGTTTCGCATCATAAACAGTTACAATAATAATAATAATAATAATAATAATAATAATAATAATAATAATAATAATAATAATAATAATAATAATGGCTTTATTCTGAAAGTTATTTTGGGAATACTGTACAGAATTTTCAGCATGTCGTATAGCATCATTTGGACAGAGATGGTGTAGATGTATGCATAGCAAAATGAAATAAGTAGAAATTATATGAGGGAAAGATAAGAATATTCACTCTATCTACAACTTTCTTGAAAATGTGTAGATTAATTTAGGTAGAAAGTCACATTAAAAATTAGCTTCATAATATGTAAATAGTAACATGCTCATTATCATAAATTAGTCTGCTTTCCAAAACAGAAATTGATTATTACTATTTATGGATATGCTTGTAATTCTCTGATGTCTTACTGGATTGAATTGTTCGAATTCTAATGATATATCGGCTCCTATACGAATACCTCAATATTGCCTAAATGTTAATTATGGTAGTTTGCTCGGTTGTGGTTAATCATCTAGTGAATAATGAATCGGCATTTAAAACAAGGAGTAGGAGGTTAAAGTCTCAATTGGAACAACATCACTAATCAATGGGATTCAGTTACACCCAGTTCATCAGTCCCAAATAGAATGAAACACACGTCTTGAATTCTTCTGCTAACCACAACCAAGAAGTTGATTAGTGTTAGTTCATTTCTAATACTTTCTTCATTGCACAGTAGACGAGATAAATACTTACAGTATTGTAGAGTTTTTATATGTTATATTAGTTGCATAAAGTCTTATATACTTGCTTCTAGTCTTTCCAGATGATGGAGAAGCAGAGAGCTTTGAGTAGAAAGGATGTTGGTCATTTCATAAAATAACTCCTACCAGATGTTTACATGGGTTAATATGTCTTAACTAGAAGGTTTAGAGGTACACCACTAGTTCTGCTGATAATCCTCAAAGTTCTATGCAATATAGTATAGTCTGCTTTCAGCAACCAGAGGAAAAATAAATGGGAACAATAGAGGAGTACAGGCAAGATGCAAGAGTTTATAAAACACAACAGGAGAGGCTGAGTTATACCATATACTATCAACTTCGTAATACAGAAGGTTAGGCGGAAAATTCTTTTGGAAATTAGTGAGATATGGGAAGACTAGGAAGGGTCCGAAGAAAAACACATGCCAGGATAAAACACACTTGTAACACTCTCTAATACACAACTATCAACAGAACAGGAATGATGAGAACAGAGTAGTTTATATTGGCTATGTTCACATCTGAAACTAAAGTTTATGGTCAGACATTTTGAAGAATTAAGCATAAAACCATTATCGGAAGACCATCATCTAACAGTAGATAGGAAATTATTCAGTTGGGAGCAATCTGCTGAAGAGCAGATAGATATGGAAACTGTTAGGTCATCAGCATATTTGATGAAACTGATACCAGATGAAGATGGTAAGTCATGGAGAAATAATGAGAAAAAACTCGGGGAAAGGACGGCTCCTTGGGGAACTCCAGCCATAGTAAGTAATGAGGTGGAACGCTCCCCTCTGTGAACTGTATGACGTCTCCTATCAGAGAAGTAGAGATACAGCCAGCTGATTATCCAAAACTCAGTATTAGTCTTGTGTAGCTTGTCCAGCAAAAGAGGTCTTGGAACAGAGTCAAATACCAAAGTATAGTCTAAAAAGGCACACCTGATATACTTCGCATTTTTGTCAAGACTATAAAAAATATCGTGATATAACAAAGTGGTGGTATCCAGAGTGCTTCTTCTGTCTTTATATGCAAATTGATTGGGGTTCCGAAGGCCTTCAGTGAGAGCTCGAGCACAGGTATTATAAACTTCTGCATTATTTTTAAGAACAGAGAGGTAACTGTAATCGGACGGTATTTTGTAAATGCACCTGGAGTCTTAGACTTAGGTACGGGGACTATCTTAATATCTTTCCAGACGGCTGGTATGGTATTTTCTAAAAACGATCGATTGAACATGTTGGCTAATGGATGGTATAAAATATCAGCACACTTCATGAATACGACGCTTGACATACCATCTGGACCTGAACCAGACAATGAGTCATGAAATTCTGCCCTACCTTGAAACTCTTACAACAGAACATAAAGTCTAGGGTTTACAATCCGTATCAATTTCCGGCTATCTGATTCAGTTGTATATTTAAAAAGTCTCTTGAACTGAGCTACACAACAGTATTATCAATTACATCATAAGTAAAACAACCTTCAGAATAGATGAAAAGTTATTGCCATTGAAACTAATCTGAGATTGAATTTTGAGGGAGTTGTAGGGATTGGGATATATTTAAAGTTGTTATTCATCGTAGACTGAAATCAGTTGGAGGAACAGAGGAAACCTGAGAGCACTGGACAGCTGTTTCGTCCCACTCGACTGGACTCCACAGCAGTGCGTACCCACTTCCCACCCCCGGGGCTCGAACCCGCGACGTTCAGATTCCGTGGTCAGCAAGTTACCACTGAGCCACTGAGTCGGAATTCAGTAGTCGATATTTCCAAATTCTGTTAGCTCACCATATGGCGCAATCACTACCCAATGTCATCGTTGATTAACTGTCCTCACGATCATCAGGCTTTGACTCCACCGGTCACGAGATTCTCATTTTTGTCTTTTCAGTTGATAGATCAATCAACATTTTATGTTTACGTAAATGATAATAGATTTTTTTTAAATTTTAATTTATCATTCAGGGTGATAATCTTGGATCTGCATCTGGTTTCAAAATTTCCAGTTTATTAAAATTAGCCGAAGTTAGATCTAATGATCCGAAAATAACACTACTGCATTTTCTTGTTCAAGTAATATTTCCGCATTATATTTATATAATTGTATCATTATGGTGTTAAATGAACCGTGTTAATTTCTTTACTGAATATAAATATGAAATATGAACACTGTGATTGAATACTAATGAAAATGTAGTCAAGTCATGATATGTAAGAGATGTTTCATTTTCTTGGTTATATTGTGTTCTCTGAGGAGCTGGATTGTTTAATCGTGAAGACGCTTTCATCGTCTCGCTTCTACACAGTGACATCATCAACACTAACTTCAGTATGATGTGACCTGTTAATATCTCTTCTCTCTGTGAGTGATTAAGTAACTTGCTGTAACGATGTGGTCTGTGATTGTTTGTTTGCTTCGATTGTTGTTTCATTGTCTGACTGCATAGATTCGAATGTTGGCTGTTTGTAGATTTTTGTCGATGATTTTGTAGATGATGTTGTACGGCATAGGCATCTTGTGACAAAGTTTCGTGTGTAACGATTCTTCTTGAGGGTGGACATCAAGTAATTTTCTTGGTTTCTCGGTGAATTTGTTGTACTCCACTGGTGTGTGTTCTCGCTCTTCTGAATACAGCCTGCATACAGTTGATTTTGTGTGTTGTTGCTACTGTAGTTGAGGTCTTGGTCAGTAAGTGTATGTTGGCTTCATGTACACTTGGGTTTCCAGCTTCCTGGTATTAGTCCTACTGACTGAAACATCCAGCAATGCTAGTTGGTTGTGTTCAACTCCTTCTCCATTGTGGATATGATGTCATAAGCGAAAATGTTGTTGATCAAATTGTGAGTGTTGACTATATCATCTCCTCCTTAATGATGACAAAAGTGTCGTCCATATAGCGAATCCAGAATTTCGGTTTGATCATGGTAGGATGATGGCTTCCAGTATTTGCATCACTGCTTCTGCAATTAGTCCGGATATCGATTATCCCATTGGAGTTCCTTTCATCTGTTTGTATATCTTGCAGTTGAATTGGAAGTATGTTGTAAGACAAAGGTCGATGAGTTCCATCAGACTTGAACATTTGAGTTTTGTGCGTTCTGTAGGGCTTGTGTCTTCATTGAGCAGAAGGCATTTAGTCTCCTTGGTCGATTCGGATTCGATGGATGTGTATAGTGCTGTGCAATCGAAGGATACCATCAATTCGTCCTTTTCTACGTTACTTTTTTGATCTTTTCTAAGAATTCCGTTGGTGATTTGATGGTATGTCCACATGATTGAACCAGGATGACTATGTCGTCTAGAAGGACGATGAAATTTTCACCGTTGAACAACCCGGCTCAACCAAGACCATCCACCTGAGTTACAAACATTTTCCACTATGTTTCATTTTCGACTCTTTTTTACATATCTGGGGTATCTCTCAAAGTCAGATTCAGAATCTGTATTTCTCCTTCTGGCTGCTTGTAATCTGAGTTACTGACTGTCATCACTTGGAGGAACATTGAAAACTTTGGAACACTGGATAGTTGTTTCGTCCCATATATGTTGGGCTCCTCAGCAGTGCGCACCCATGACCCCACTACTGATCAATATCAGTCCATAATGAAATCAATCAATAAATCCTCACAACCCCTAACTTCAATTTATCTGGTGCTTACTGGCGACTAGCTTCCAGAGGTGATTCCCTAAGCTCCAAGGAGAAGTCGTTACAGGTAGAGTAAACCTGTTGACCGTGAGAACAAATAGTCAACGATGATATCATGTGATAATCGCGGTGTCATAAACTGACAGAAGTTGTAAATATGGACCACTGGATTCCAAGTAACTGGCTAAATGGCAACGTCGTGGTCAAGGAGCATGAAGGTTCTAGGATGAAACAGCTTTTCAACACTCTCAGCATTCCACTGTTACCCCAAGTGATGTCAGTCCATGATGAATACCAACTTGAATAATTTCGAAGTGGTTGGAGGCAAACAGTAGTCGTCACCAAGGTGTATCTATCATCTAAAGAGGACTGAGTTCGAATCCACACCAATAACTACTACTGTAGTCAAAAAATGTTACTACGGAGTGATAGTGATCAGTCCTTTGGAATATCGAACTTGAATAGCTAAAGCCAATCATCAAAACATCCTGATATAAATGTTTTCTTCATCCATTCTTGGAAGATAATCGGTAGGATACTCTGAAGCTTGTCAAAATCGTGTACCAAAATGTTGAACCTTCTCTATAAACTGAATAAGTTAGCATATATGAGTTTATGGTTACGTACACACACAGTTTCGACTTAGTGCTACGATTTGACCATGAACAAATCGGTAAATATTTGCTATTATCCCATTTACTATTTCTACAGGTTATATGAGATGCTGATTTTCACAGTTTATCAAAACTATTACTCAGCATTCTCATATAGATACATTATGTAGACTTTAAAAGTAGCCTGAGCACGTTACTTGTTTCTTTGGTTATTAGCATGAATTAACAAAAGTGTTTATAACTTGCATCATCGTTACACCACTGACACATTCAAATGCTGTAACATGATCCCTTATCAAACTAAACAGAATTCTAAGACCATCCTAGATTAAACTTACCTTGATTGATAAAGCTGAGAATTATATATTCAATTACTGTATCTGAAGACAATAGAATAGCTGTAATCATCAGAGTAAATGAGATAAACATCTTCCACTTACCGGCATGATCTCATGTTTTGTGATTAAATCAAGATATACTGCAATACAGTGAAGAACAACCTCGCCTAGTTTACTAGTTTACTAGTTACTAGCCACTCCTAAAGCCGGATAAAGAGGGAAGCTTGGGCATAGGGCTAGCAACCCTACACCGTAAAACCAATCCAATCGCTAAAGAAACTTTGAACCACAGAAAAAAAAAAAAAATAAAACAAACTTATTCCTCACTGGAATCGGAACTGTAAGTGAAGCAGAATAGGCTGCAGGTAGGAGAGACCTGACAACATTATATCGAATAACTAGGTTACCATCTGGGAAGAAATCAACACAGTGCAGATGAAATCAGTGAAATATAGTGAAGGAAAACTAGTTAGTTACCAAAGCGAAGAAACAAAGGAAACGATGAGCTGACCGCTTTAAAAACCTCTTGAATCGATCACCATCACCACCTGCTACTCGCCCAGAAATACCACCAGCAGCCAAGCCACACAACTACAAGTGAACACGAGGCATCCAACAAAAGCAGAAATCCTGAACGCCACAAAGTTACTGAAATACGGGAAGGCAGCAGGACTAGATGGAATTCCACCAGGTGTACTGAAAGCAGACGCAGAGACAGCAGTAACGGACATGCTCGTATCACTATTGCAGAAGGTTTGTGAGGAAGGAAGGAAGGAAGGAAAGGTACCTCCCCACTGATTGGAAGAAGGGCTACCTCGTCAAACCACTAAAGAAGGGTAACCTAAGTCTTTGCAAGAACTGGCGAAGAATCATGCTGCTGACCACACCAAGCAAAATATTAAGCCGCATCATCCTGGACAGACAAAAGTATGCCCTCGATTCAAAATTACAACCGGAACAGTTTGTTGACTGGCTTCAAGAAGTACAAATCATATGGGGAACTAATTGCAACACTACGCTACTCATCATCATAGAACATAGTATAGCATGGCATTCAACTGGATCTTCACCTCAACTTCATCAATTTTGAAAACGCCTATGACAGCGTCAACCTAGAAGTAATTTGGCAGGCAGCTGCTTCAACACTACGATTTTAATGCCAAAAACCTTCATCAATCCCATTCAACAGCTGTATGCCTTAGGAAGACATTACATGCCAAGTGATTCACAACACAATGGAAACCTGAGTAATGCGTTTGAAGTGAAGACAGGTTGACAGGTAAGACAAGACAAGGTTGTCGCCTACTATCATCACCGATGATCTTCCTGATTGTGGTCGACTGGACTGAATCATGCAACAGACAACTGTGTGGAGCTATGAGAAGATGGGAATACGATGTTTGACCAGTGAAGATACCCTAGAAGATTTGGAATTCGCCGATGGTGTCTAGTTTCGCACAATGTCGCACAAGCTCAAAGATCTACAGGCGAAAACTAACAAGTTGGCAGAACAGGCAGAGCAGGGCAGCGAAGAGGGGACTTCCTTCAGGTGAACGCTGAGAAGACACAGGCGATGAAGATAGTCAACCAACAACAAAAAGCACTAATCATTATCAACGGGAGAAATCTAAAGAAAATTGTCTCCCCCACATACCTACCTAGGAAGCATCGTTTCAACTACAGGCGATGGCACAGATGAGGATGCCAAAGCCAGGCAGAAAGGCAGGCCTTCATTTACCTGAAACCATTGTGGAGATCTACTGCACTGCACTCAGAGTAGAGCGTGAACAAGATCAGGATTTTCAACACTAACGTCAGTCAAGCCAGTGCTTCTATGTGATAGTTCAGAAACCTGACGCGTCACGAAAAGCATTCGCAACAAACTACAGACATGGATAAACAGCTGCCGCCTATGCTGACTCAATACAGAAAATCAGATCAACCGGCCAGAAACAATAAGCAAGGAGGAAATCTGGTTGGCTGGCTGGCAACGAACTAACCAAGAACCCATCACACAACAAATGTGCAGAAGAAATACTCCAACTTACGAGTTGCCTAAATATTTACCAATCATATTAGACCCAATAACAAATCACTCAAAATCTCCACTTACTCACCCTCATTACTTAAACAATACATTACATTAAATGCATTTAGATGACAATGAAATAATGGTTACTTTTGACATAACTAGCCTTTACACGAATACACCAATCGACAGATATAACGGCACAGCCACTTGCAAATAGAATTAAGGAAGACAATGAACTTACTCATCGAACTAAGGTGCCAATCAAAGAAATCATCCTAACAGTTTCACTGTGTCTCACATCTACACTTTTTGAGTTTCAAAATAAAATAAACACAGGTAAACTGATCCTGTTGCCATGGATTCACCAGTATCTTCTATACTTGCAGACATATTTATGGATAGTTGGAAACTGATGACCCTTCAAACATTTTGTCCTATTCCACAGATATATTTCCGATATGTAGATCAGATCGGAACACATCAATGCTTTCAGGCACATACAAATGCATTAATGAATACAATCCAATTTATCTGTAACTTAGAAAGTGATGTAGGTGAGCCAGCAATATTGTAATAGAAGATTGAAAGAAAACAAGATGGAAGTTTACACACTGGTGTTATCTACATGAAAGTTTACAAATCGAATCGCCACTTAGTCTTCAAATCCTCCCACCTAATCTCAGTTAAACGACTTCGTGATAAAGCAAAACACCTTACTGGTCGGCCACAAAATCTACAACAACGAATTAGACGCATCAAGAATACCTCACGTCTCAATAATTACCCACCTACATTTATGAATAAATTCACAAGGAATCGAAACGAAAATATGACCACTAGTAGTAGTGTGAGTAGTGTAAGTAGTAGTAGTAGTAGTAGTAGTAGTAGTAGTAGTAGTAGTAGTAGTAGTAGTAGTAGTAGTAGTAGTAGTAGTAGTAGTAGTAGTAGTAGTAGTAGTAGTAGTAGTAGTAGTAGTAGTAGTAGTAGTAGTAGTAGTAGTAGTAGTAGTAGTAGTAGTAGTAGTAGTAGTAGTAGTAGTAGTAGTAGTAGTAGTAGTAGTAGTAGTAGTAGTAGTAGTAGTAGTAGTAGTAGTAGTAGTAGTAGTAGTAGTAGTAGTAGTAGTAGTAGTAGTAGTAGTAGTAGTAGTAGTAGTAGTAGTAGTAGTAGTAGTAGTAGTAGTAGTAGTAGTAGTAGTAGTAGTAGTAGTAGTAGTAGTAGTAGTAGTAGTAGTAGTAGTAGTAGTAGTAGTAGTAGTAGTAGTAGTAGTAGTAGTAGTAGTAGTAGTAGTAGTAGTAGTAGTAGTAGTAGTAGTAGTAGTAGTAGTAGTAGTAGTAGTAGTAGTAGTAGTAGTAGTAGTAGTAGTAGTAGTAGTAGTAGTAGTAGTAGTAGTAGTAGTAGTAGTAGTAGTAGTAGTAGTAGTAGTAGTAGTAGTAGTAGTAGTAGTAGTAGTAGTAGTAGTAGTAGTAGTAGTAGTAGTAGTAGTAGTAGTAGTAGTAGTAGTAGTAGTAGTAGTAGTAGTAGTAGTAGTAGTAGTAGTAGTAGTAGTAGTAGTAGTAGTAGTAACGAAGGTGTTATTAAGAATAATTCTACTACTAACAGTAATAAAGGTGATAGGGTTGAGAGAGAATTCAATGTCTCCACCGTGTTACCACACTGGTGAAGCATTACGAATAATTCTCTATAAGATTAGTTGGGGTTAAAGCGGCATTAAAGCCAACATACTCTCAGAAACAAGCTTTATAGGGTAAGAAAAAATCCTATGAATGCAATTCAGCTAAATAATCTGGTTTACCAAATCCCTTGGAATGATTGTGAGGTGAAATACATAGGTGGAAGTAATCGACCAAGGTCAATTAGAATAATACAGCTTACAAACTTAACTAAATCAAGATTAGTAGATCCTAACAAGATAAGAAATATAGAGAAAAGCTCGGCTATAGCTCTACATGCGATGACACACAATCATACAGTAGGGTGTTATACAGCGACAGCGTTAAAAACTAACTTAAATGGGTGGAAGGAGAGATTGACTAATGAATCTTCATTAACAGAAATGATTCTCCACCTGTCCCAGACATATGGAAAATTCTACTCCCCAAAGAAGGAGAGAAAATTAGGATTATATGATCTCTGTATCAAATATGTTGTGGAGTTATGTGTTGATATGAATATAGACAATAAATTGTGTTGGAAACACGTAGTCCAATGAATGATACTATTCCTTGACTGTGTGATATTTCAAATAAACAGATTGAACTGTGATATTTTCTCGTAGGTCTTGTTGTTAACCCATCTAACGATAAGTAGAAGATATTAAAAAATTGCGCATTAGTACATTTCTATGACTTCTTGACATTTGATTAGTTTAAACAAGTAAATAAGAAACAATTTGATAAAGTATATTCAATGAAATATTTCTCGAAGCAGAAAATTTAAACAGCCTTGTATATTCGATTTACAACTTGAAATCAAAAGGCTTCCTATTCAAGTATGAATTATCACTTATCTGATTTTTTTCTTCTAAAAACAATTAACAGGAATTCAAAACTAACAATCCACAAGTGTTAAGAATTAAAGAGACAATGCCATATCTCAAAGAAGCATCAGAGTAAGTTTACAGTGTTTTATTTATATAAAAACGTAATTGTGTTGAATACTAAAAGTCCATACTTTCAGAATTACGTTGAAGTGAAAAGATGTCTGACTTCGTCGGTGGGGACATCTTTTCATAAAGTGGATTTAACACTTGACTTAGCGACTTACGGTGAAGAGGTAACAGACAGTAACCTTAACAGTAGTATTCTTCATGTTTATTACTATTATTACTAGTCCCTTGGGTTCCTAATAGAACATAGGGCTTCACTAGCACGTCTCCATTCCACTCTCTTCTCTGCAATCTTTTGAACCTGGCTCCACCAATGCCCACAAGCTCTCATCTCTACCTCGCACGATCTCCTCAATTTCACCCTCACCTCGAACGCTCAACTCGTCGCTTCCCATCTAGGTTTCACTCGACGGCCTGACGCGTGATGTCCCCAGTCGGCCTTCTGAATGTATGCCCAATCCATCTCCACTTCCTTCCAGTGCATATTTATTCAGCGATAGGTTTTTGGTTGGTTCCTTTCCAGTTCAGAGTTCCTTGTTGCTTATTCTTTCTGGCAATCCATCTGATCTTCAGTAGCGAGTCAGCGTAAGCAGTTGTTGATGAATGTCTGTAGTTTGTTGGAAATCACTTTCGTGACGCGCCAAGTCTCTCAACCATCACATACAAGCACTGACTTGACTGATATTGGTGTTGAAAATCCGGATCTTGTTCTGCATGCTGAGTGCAGAAGATCTCCACACTGGTTTCACGCTAATGAACGCCTGTCTTGCTTTTCCGATTCTGACTTTGAAATCTTCGTCGTCGCCGCCTGTAGTTGAAACAGTGTTACCTAGATAGGTGAAGGAGGTTACTTCCTTCAAGTTTCTTTCGTTGATGTTGATTGGAGTTTGTTGTTGGTGGTGGTGGAAGTGCGGTATCTTCATCATCTCTGTCTTCTCTATATTCACTTGAAGTCCCATCTTCGCTGCCTCGCCTCTTCTGTCAACTTCTTAGTTTTCGCCTATACATCATCAAGTTTGTGTAACATCAGACACAAGTCATCAGCGAAATCCAGATCTTCTAGGTTCTTTTCGGCAGTCCAGCGTATCCCCCTCTTCTCGCTCCCCACTGTTTGCTGCATGATCCAGTCGACCACAATAAGGAATATCATGGGGGATAGTAGACAATCTTGTTTCACTCCTGTCTTCACTTCAAAAGCATCACTGAACTTCCCATTGTGAATTACTTGGCATGTGGCATCTTCATATAGTTGCTGAATGAGGCTGATAAAGGTTTGCGGTACTCCGTAGTAATGAAGCAGTTTCCAAATTATCACTCGGTCGATGCTGTCAAAGGCCTTTTCAAAGTCGATAAAGTTGAGGTATAGAGCTGATTGCCATTCTATGCTCTGTTCTATGATGATGTGTAGAGTAGGGTTGCAATTTGGTCTGCACATGATTTGTACTACCTGAATCCAGCCAGCCAGCATGTTCCGGTCATAGTTTTGAATCCAGTGTATCCTTTAGCCTCTCCAGGATGATGCGCCTTAATATTTTGCTTGTATTGGATGGACAGGAGAGTGATTCCGTGCCAGTTCTTGCAAACACTGAGCTCTCCCTTCTTCGGCAGTTTGACAAGGTAACCCTTCTTCCAATCAATGGCCAGGTACATTCTCTTCCTTCCACACCTTCTGCAATAGTGGTGTGGTGTGAGCATGTCCGCTGCTGTTGTCTCTGTGTCTGTTTTCAGTGCTTCTGGTGGGATCCCATCTGGTCCTGCTGATTTCCTGCATTTCAGTAGCTTTATGACGTTTATGACTTCCACTTTTGTTGGAGGATTTATATTCACTTGTAGTCCAGCGGCTGTAGGTGGTATTTCTAGACGAAGTGCAGGTGGTGGTCGATATTTTTCATGTTGCTGCTGAATAATATAGACTTTAATAAAGTAGTAAAGTAACGAAATCAATTAGAGATTTGATAGTTTGAAATAAAAATGACGACATTGTTTAAATTCCATAGAATACTTCGGTATTTTTATATCCCAGTTAATGCTCCTAACAGCTAAAACAAAGTTTTAATAAACCAGAATTTACAATGTCCAAGTTTATACAGGATCTAAGAATAAACCTGGAATTCATCGCAAGAGGTTCTGTAAACTAAATTATTTCACCCAATTTCGATCAATCGAATCTTTCAACTGGCAAAGCTTATTTCTAAGTGATTTTGTAGGTTTAAATATCATTGTAACCCCAGCCAGACTTATAGAGAATCGTATGTAATATCTCTTAGGTGCTTTGTCATTATGGTAATACTGTAGAGGTTTTGAATTCTCTTTTCACAGTATAGCCACTCTTGTTATTAAAACACGATTACTGCTACTATTAACACCTGTATTACTGATATTTTTTTGCGAGTCCTAAGAAAGTTATTGATTGATTTAGTAGAGTAATTGTTGATGAATAAGGTGTCCTTAATGTATCTAGTTTCTTGTCTCAGATCTTCTGATTGACTAGTAAGTCTTTTGCTCCAGTTACTTGGACACTTTACTAAGATAACTCTAACTGACTGGCGTAGGGTTTCCTGCAGACATTAGTCCGTCTAAACTGTCATCTCGTTTCCATTTTTATTCTGCAGTAGAACATCGTTAATTCCCCTTCACTATTTTCTAATTCATAGGTGAATTGGACTGCGCTGACTACTGAATTTACATATGTGTGAAGAAATTATATATATGTATGCTCAGATTTCAACAGTGTAAATGTGTTGTGTACATATTCAAAGGATACTTTTGTAGCCGGACTAAATGTTTCTACAGCCATCCATTCCCGACTATCCATAAATATGCAAGCTACAATAGGGGATATTGGTGATCCCATGATAAATTCTTATGTTTGTCTGTATAATTTATTCTGAAACTTAGCCATGGTAGAGGTTAGGGATGGCTATACTCCAAGCATGATATCGTCTACTGGTACCTTAGTTTGTAATATAACCTGATGGTCATTACTGAGAATCTTTCTAACTGCTTCCAGAGCCATACCAACTAGTATGCGTTAGTATACAAACTGGCTACATCAAAACTAACCATTTTTTTCATTTTAAGCTAAATGTACATCATCTACTCTATGCTTCAAGTCATAAGAGTTAGTAAGTCTTGGTATAAAATGGTTTCTATACAAAGAAAGACTCATATTAGTAACAAAAATGTTATAGGTAATAATAATAATACCAATGATAACAGTAGTTACAATACATTGGAGAGAGAATTCAAATCCTCTACAGTATTACCATAATGACAAAGCACCTAAGAGATATTACATACGATTCTCTATAAGTCTGGCTGGGGTTACAATGATATTTAAACCTACAAAATCATTTAGAAATAAGCTTTGTAAGTTGAAAGATTCGATTGATCGAAATTGGGTGTAATAATTTAGTTTACAGAACCTCTTGCGATGAATTCCAGGTGAAGGAGATAGGTCAGAGTAGTCGATCACATTAGGTCAGTCAGGCTGTACGAACACATAAGCCTAACTAGATGAGAATTGGTAAATCCTAGTAAGGTAAGTAATGTTAAGGAGAGCTTGTCGATAGCTATGCATACTTACAGCTGCACAATCGGGTGGGACAGAGCTAGATTCCTTAAAACTAAGATAGTGGGATGGAGGCAGAGATAGACAAGTGAATCTTTATTCATCGAATCAACACCAAATACATGCAGTAACAGGAATGATTCTGCACCTGTTCCGAATATGTGGGAAATCTTCCTACTGAAATCCGTTGGTTGAGTGAGGAGATTGAGGCTACATAAATGATGCCTTAAAATTGTATAGTTCTCTTGATATGATTATGGACAATGAATGATGTCTGAAATGTGATTCAGTGAATAATACTGTTCCTTCACTTTGATGAATCTCATGGTTCGTATCTAATTACTGCTGGGATAACCAATTCCGTACCTGTTTTTTACGAATGACTACCCTGTCAGCCGGAATAACAAACGTTGATTGGTTGTTTCAGTGTTTCCCATGATGGCCTTCAAAATCACTTCGCACTCTCATACTGGTTCTAAAGACCACCCAAACAACTAACTTACAAGTCGAAATAAAGAGGTTACAGTGTTTTTCCCATCCTCTCGTGTAAAAACCTAAATACAATCTCGACAGTAGCCGAAGTGACCTGGTAGCTCATATGGTAGAGTACCAGACCGGGCACCCAGTGGTCGCTGGTTCGATTCCCACCTCAGTTCAAATTTTCATTTCACCTTCAATCACCATCCAGTGTCAATACAGTGATCAACACTCATATGGAAAAATAAGCAAGTATGTTAATTGACTTAGTTGTGACTGGTAGAGGAATCCAAGAGGCGTATTTCCTTGTAATTTCGACTTTTCAATTGGATGTACCTACATCTCTATGAGTGATGTTATTCCCACTGAGACTGGAGTCTGGTACCCACTAACGAATGGTTTTAAATAAATAATTAGTGACAACCTTAATAAGATATTCAGTTAAGACGACCCTTTAAACGAATTCATTCTCAAGCTGTACACTTGATATATATATATATATATATATATATATATATATATATATATATATATATATATATATATATTATATTCAATGAATGTAATTCCCTTCTAGTCTCTACCTATCATCAATATATAATTCTTATTCTTTTGATAAAATACGCTATTTAATTATTATTTAATCTTGCCTTTATCCTTTTTAGTGTATCACTTGACTTAATTGTAAAAGAAATTCATCGATTCACAAGTAGATTACAAAATATGAGTGAATATTTCAATGAAGAAACTTCCGAAGAACAGTCAGAAATCCATGAGTTCATTAAAGTAAGTTTCTCTCTCCTCTTTCTCTCCTTGATGTTTACTATAACTAGAGTGATATGACGAGATTTTCTTTTTATAGTTTAATCATAGAGATGTGTTAAAACTTAACTACTCAACTATAATTGTTAAAAAGTCACCACACACACACAACCGTTTTTATTCATTCATTAACTAAATCCAATCGAAGACAACTTATGCTGATTTACATTACATTGTAATCGATGTGAACAAGAATTTTTAGTCTGTCTTCAAATTCAACTGTTTAAGTCTTTAATGTTCTAGAATCTCTAGACTTCAGCTCCTCTTGACAGTACAAAATACTAATTTCATTCTGGTGGACTATATGATCACTCAAAATGACAGTAAATTTAAGCAGTAGAATAAATTCTGCTTCAAGTCTGAGTGAACAAATAACTAATAACATCGTACATCACTTCAACGAATAATTATTAGTTGTCATTTCCCATTGTTATTCTAGATTGAACTAGTCAACTGCCATTGGTAGATGGTCTCTTATACAGATGCCTTAATATAGCCTGATTATTGATTATGCTATAATTTGCCTGTTGCCTCAGTAACCTAAAAGAAAACGTTTTGATGTTTGAAACGATTAGTGCTGGATTTCAGTTTCATTTATAACAACATCACTCAGTAAAAGGCAAGTATATCTAGTGGATGTGTCCCAGGTAGGACGAAACAAGCGTACTTCAGTCCACTCCTAGTCATCACCAAGCAAATTACAACTGGTGTTAGTCTCTGCTAATAGTGACATTATCTGTAGATTTTAGCATACTCATTTATAAGTGTGTATCATACTATATTAAGAAAAGTGTAATGTCGACCCCTCGTATTACTTGCTTTGACTCTGAGATACCTCACTGGCAAAAGGTTGACCACATCTATTTTGAAGAGTAATGGTTTGAACTTTACAATGGCTAGTCCTTCAACTACAGTTATATGGCTTGATCTTAACACCCGGAGTGGTTTGATTGAACCAAACAGAGGCATATGAATCAGTTCTCAAAAGCAGTTGACTAACCTCAATTCACAACATCTCTTCCATTTCCCGTTTATTACACAGGTTGGCTAGTGTTCATGAGCACATTTCATAAGCAAACGTGTGGTGTGGCCAATGTACTCAGTTCCACAAGAACAAGTGAAATGCTGTACACACTTCGATATGGCCTAATGCGTAGGCTTGTCTTTCACACAGCAGAAATGGATTCCAAGGTTGGCGATGGAGTATATTCTAATTAAAGATCTTCACAATCGTTTTTCGAAGATGTCTACAACAATACAATCGCTTGTACAGTGTTCTATGAGGAGCTGGATTATTTAATAGTGAAGGCGCCTTCCTCGTCTCGCTTCTACACAGTGACATCATCAACACTAACTTCAGTATGATGTCACCTGTCAATATCTCTTCTCTCCATGACTGATTTAGTGGCTGGCTTTGATGATGTGGTCTGTGATTGGTTGTTTCCTTCGATTGTTGTATCATTAACTGTATAGATTTTGTGTATTGTTGGGTTGTTGCTATTCTAGTTGATGATTTGATCAGTCAGTGTGTGTTGGCTCCCTGTACACTTCGCTTTCCAGCTTTACAACATTCGTCCTACTGACTGAAACATCAAGAAATGCTAGTTGGTTCTTTGACTGCTGTTTCATCAACTACCATTCCTGCATGTTTCAGTCAATAGGACAAATGCTGGAAAGCTTGTAAGCCAAGTGTACAGGGAGCGAACACATACATTGACTGATCCAGTCATCGACTAAATTACCAACAACCCAACAACACACAAAATCTATACAGTTGCATGCAGACTCTATTCAGAAGAGCGAGAACACACACCAGTGCAGTACAACAAATTCACCGAGAAACCAACAAAATCACTTCAAGTTGTTATTCATCGAAGACTGACATCAGTTGGAGGAACAAAGGAAACCTGGGAGCACTGGACAGCTGTTTCGTCCTAGTATGGGACTCCTCAGCAGTGCGCACCCACGACCCCACCAGCAGGGATCGAACCCGCGACCTTCAGGTTCCGCGACCAGCGCGTTACCATTGAGCTACTGGGTCAGAATCCAATGCTCCATATTTCCAACTTCTGTTAGCTCACGATATAGCGCAAACCGCCACCCAATGTCATCGTTGAGTATTTGTCCTCACGGCCATCAGGCTTGACTCCACCGGTCACGACTTGTCATTGGAACTTCGGGAATACTTCTCGAAGCTAGTCACCAACGAGCACTAGTTCAACCCCCTCAAAATTTAATTGAACTAGTGCTCGTTGGTGACTAGCTTCGAGAAGTATTCCCGAAGTTCCAATGACAAGTCGTGACCGGTGGAGTCAAGCCTGATGGCCGTGAGGACAAATACTCAACGATGACATTGGGTGGCGGTTTGCGCTATATCGTGAGCTAACAGAAGTTGGAAATATGGAGCATTGGATTCTGACCCAGTGGCTCAATGGTAACGCGCTGGTCGCGGAACCTGAAGACCATTCACCTCATCTACAAATATACTCCACTACTACAACAATGTAATTTTAAACTTAAGATTTATCAAAAAGTCGTTTTAGGCGCCAATTGTATTCATTTAGTTGGGTTCTTCGGCTTCAGTTTCTTGTGTATGAATCTGTGAAGGGAAGCGTTTTGTATTAGAGGTCGTTGAAGTATTTATCTTATCTTTAGTGCATATCTGTATGATCCTCGAAGAAGGTGAATGGATAAGATTTCTCTTCATACTTACAGAGATCAAACTTTTTGAAATTAACAAACTGCTTGTCTAACATAGGCTTTCTGTAAATACATCAATGAAGTGAATTATCATCTTTCATTGGAGTTGAACATGAACATGAAGAGAATTGAATGATGGGTTTGATTCTGGTTGTAGAATGAATTTGACTGAGGGATTGGCATATTTGAAAGTATGAAGCAGGTTTAAAATATTCCTCTTTTCATTACAATCTATGAAGGTAACATGAGTTTATTTTTTGTAGATATGAAGCTAACTAATTTTTTGTTATTGATAAGTTAGTGTTTTCAAGGTTTGCCTCAAAGCAATCTTTTAAGACGGATACCAGTGTAGAACCCTATGTCACACTGTCTATCTGATTCTAGATTTCGTTATTAAATATGAAGTATCCATTGTAAGTATAACGAAGAAAGAAACCTTTTTAGTTATGATTTCGAATATCAGAATCTTTTTTACAGGATTGAATGAAACCATATAGGAAGTAAATGGCTTTTGTTTAGTGATACTATTCCAGAGCCTTTTTCCGATGGTGTCATGACCAAGTTTCAGTTTTTCTTTAGTTCATCCAACTGATTTCGATGTTATTTTGTTAAAAGATATCACTAATTGAAATTTTTACTTATGTAATCAAAACACCACAAGACAGGCGTTCATTAGCCTGAAACCAGTGTAGAGATCTACTACACTGCACTCAGCATAAAGCGTGAACAAGATCTGGATTTTCTACACTAATATCAGTCAAGTCAGTGATTCTATGCAATGGTTGAGAGACTTGGCGCATTACGAAAGGGATTTCCAACAAACTACAGACATTCATCAACAACTGAATACGCTGCCTCCTTACTGAAGATCAGGTGGTCAGAATAGTAAGAATAAGCAACAAGGAACTCTGGCAGGCTGGTGACGAACCAACTAACCAAGAACATATCGCTGAATAAATATGAACTGGAAGGAAGTGTAGGTGGATTGGGCATACACTGAGAAGACCATTCGGGAGCATCAGGCCAGGCACTTGAGTGGAACCCAGATAGGAAGCGACGAGTTGGGCGTGGGAGGTGAGGGTGACATGGAGGAGATGGTGTGAGGGAGAGATGAGAGCTCGTCGGCTGTCGTGGAGCCAGGTTCAAAAGATTTCAGAGAACAGAGCGCATTGAAGACGTGCTACTGCATCCCTATATTCCATTAGGAACCGAAGGGACAAATAATAATAATCAAAACACCAATCTAACACAGTAAATGTCCAGTTCATCTTCAACAATAATCTGTACAGACAAATTCATGGAGTGGCTATGAGATCTTCATTAGGCTTAACATTTACAGACACATTTCTGGCAAAATTAGAAAATGAACCTTTGAAATATCAATGTACTGTCGATACATGGATGATACTGTCTTACACTTTGATTATTGCATATGTATTAATTCTATTCTGAACCATTTCAACATTGCTGTTCATCCATCAATTCATTTTATATATGAAAATAAAACCAATGATTCGATACATTTTCTTGATGTGTTAATAACATGAAAAAAAGATGGCTTTACACTGATATATAACGACAAAAGGCAGTCAATAGAGGAGTTGTTTTCAACTCATGATCAGATCATGTTCACGTCATGATTAAGACTTGCACTGATATGAGAATGTGATTGGAGAAATTCGACCTCATACAAGAAATCTGATTGGTTCATTTATGGCTTCACTTTCTGAGAGTTTTGTAAATAACTATATGTCATGTATTTGTCTAGTAAAAGTCGTCGTTGTTCTTGCAGTCATCGGCCGTCTTTGTGTTTTGGTTTTTCCGCGTCTCAGTGAAGCAGAAGGTACTGAGGGAGGTCAGTCGTAAAGGTATTCGGTTGAGGTGTCTATTGAGTCTCAGCATCATTATATCCACGGAAGCAACCCCACCACGCGGTCACAACGTATACTGAGAAGCATATATACAAAACTAACGTCGAAGGCACAGTATACGCACTTTCTAGCTTCGTACCGGTGAAGTACAAGCAAAATATAATCAAGTGCCTAGCATATAGAGTAAGATTGATTTATTTTAAGGAGTGTTTCGGAGAAGAACTACTGTGTATCTGTGATATTCTGAGTGAAAATTGGTATCCGGACAAGTCGATCAAAGCTAACATCAACTACATTGGTCCTAAACAAGAACTGATGACGGTGCAGAAGCAGCCTTTGTTTCTCAGCTTACTATTCAAGTGAAATGCTGCAAATAATATTCTATCACAACACCTAGCTAGACCAGTCAACAGGACGCTTCATGCAGGTGGACTTTGTATGTCATTCAGTTGTCGGTCAATGCTCAGTTCGAGACTAAGCGATAGCCTACCTAGTCATACCTCTTTATCCTTCATATATCAATTCGACTGTTCCTGTGGAAGTAGTTACAGCGTGTGTGTGACTAGGCAGGTGGGTCTGCGGATACAAGAGCACTTACCAGCTTCGTTTGGAAAGGGCGAGGTGAACGCGTTGAGTTCAGTCCTAGCACATCTAGTTGACACATGTAGCTGGCCAACACCTACTCATTATGGCGGAGGCTTCCGCAATAAGACTGATAAAGCTTGAACTCTGTATTCAGGAAAGATATGTCTAAGCGTTACTTCTTCCTTGGCCCTCAGCCAACCAAAGGCCATTTATGCCAACTTATTCGTTATCTTTTCATTCATCACCATCATATCATACTTCTGTGTATGTATCATCCAAATATTGACTAGTTGTAAAGTGGTTAATCTATTTCATTATATTATTATTTATCCCTTGGGTTCTTAATGGAACATAAGGATTCAGTAGCACGTGATGTTCCCGAATGGTCTTCTCAGTGTATGCCCAATCCGCCTACACTTCCTTCCAGTTCATATTTATTCAGCGATAGGTTCTTGGTTAGTTGGTTCGTCACCAGCCAGCCAGAGTTCCTTGTTGCTTATTCTTACTATTCTGACCATCTGATCTTCAGTAGGAGGCAGCGTATGCAATTGTTGATGAATGTCTGTAGTTTGTTGGAAATCGCTTTCGTAATGCGCCATGTCTCTCAACCATTGCATAGAATCACTGACTTGACTGATATTGGTGTTGAAAATCCAGATGTTGTTTATACTTTATGCTGAGTATAGTGCAGAAGATCTCCACACTGGTTTCAGGCTAATGAACGCCTGTCTTGCTTTTCCGATGCTGACTGGTTGTGACGTCCTCGTCTGTACCTGTGCAGCCTGTAGTTGAAACGATGCTGCCTAGATAGGTAAAACAGACTACTTCCTTTAGGTTTCTCCTGTTGATGTTGACTGGGGCTTGTTGTTGTTGGTGGTATTGATTGGGTGTCATCATCACCTCTCTCTTCTGTACATTCACTTGAAGTCGCGTTTTCGCTGCCCTGCCTCTTCTTTCAACTTGTTAGTTTTCGCCTGTAGATCTTCAAGTTTGTGTGACATTAGACATAAGTCATCGGCGAAATCCAGATTCCTAAATCTCACTCCATTTTGAAAATGTACCTGTCCAAAACATGGTGTGTTTTTTTGCTGTACAAATGCATTTTATAATTGTAGAACATAAACAAAATATTTAATGATGGATCGTGGCTAGCAGTGGAATAGAGGATGCGCATTTCGTCCTATTCGGGACTCGTCAGTTGGATATACCTGCTTCCTAGTCAGTGTTGTTCCCACCGGGATTAGATTGCTGGTAATATCGAGGCATCCTCACAGGAGCCCATATGCTTATAGAGACTGATCGATTCGGTCCAATCAACGACGGTATCATATAAAAACTTTTATACTATGAAGAGAATACTTGTTTGAAAAAATATTCTTCGTTCAGATTGTTGCTTTTTATAAATTTTATAAGTCTTCATTTGTTTTAAAACTCTTGAAACGAGAAGTTTTGATTCATCATATGAAGGTGGAATTAGATCTTGTGTTTAGTTAATTACATTTCCGAAATGAGCTTTTGTATTAAGGTCTTGGACTTTTGAAGTCATGTAACAGATTTTCAGTCTCAGTGATAACATTTCATTTTGAATTGAGGATAGTGATAGATTTTAAGACATGACGGAAAGGCTGTTTTCTTTGTTATAAACTTCAAGCTTTTAGTTAGCTTCACGTTGGTATCATCAGTTAGCGGCCTAGTAACAATTTCAACGTAATTTTCAAATTCTGCTCTTTCAATGGTGGATAATTTGAAAAGAATGTTGAATTTTTATGACAGTCTGTTCAAGTTCTGGTAATCAGGAAAGTATAGTGTGCATATGACTAAGAGTGTACAGCTTAGTCAATGCCTTCATCGACAAAGAAGAACCATCTTTTTTATCCTTTATCATCAAATGGATCTATTCCACTACTTAAACTACTTTTAATGTTTAAAAGTAGTATAAAAAAACCGGTAAAATGTAAACTGAATGTTTTCTATCTTAGCGATCTAATGAGGAATTGAATGAGGTGAAAATTCAGTTGAAAAATGTTCAAGAATTGGAAGAAAAGTGTGCACATTACTTTTGTGAATGTCCAACACAATTCAGAATCACAGAATGTCTGGAAACTTTTAATTTATTTTTTGAGAAAATGAAATCAACTGAACAAGTAAGTCATTATCTTATCTTAAAGTCTTGACGTTATACCTCTCAAATCTGGAATACATCAATTTCATGTATAAGTGAGTCTTTATTCTCAACAAAGAATAATGGAGTAAATTTTGACTGTGAATAAGATCAGTACATTGGAATAAACAGACTCCACCGGTTATTATTCAATATCCAATTTGAGCATATTGCTCAGTTCTTAAAGAAACCTGTTTTGAAGTGAACTGCTGGTTAGTTATGCATGTGTAAACTCATAGACATAGATCACTGACAAGATCCAAATCAAGTAGAGGTTTCCTATCAATTGATTTCTAATGCAGAATGATAAACATAGTACCTGTATAGTTTTTTTAAGTTTAGTAGTAACGCGGAAAACCTGATGACTAAGTTTCAGTCACCGCTTATGCCTTAACTAGTAAACCGTATAAGTTTTTTGACAGAATAGTCCACTTTCAAAGCTACAAAGAGAGAAAAGTTGAAGTAAACTAGTGTTTACCCTGAAGTATAATCCTCTACTGATCGTTTTACATAGTTAGTCTGTAAGTATTTTAACCTCCAAGGTGTTTCTTCTGCATCTCAGAGTGGTAAACCAAAACCAAAGGATAGTTTATAAAGACCAGCTGGTTTCAGGTTAATATTCATCTGTGGAGATATTAGATAAAATGGTTGTGTTATAAAGCGAACTTAGCGGTTGAATAGCTCACCCTATAACTTAATGATTTCTTCATAAGGTCATGAATTCACGCTGCTGAGGAATCATATACTAGGAAGAAACACCCATCTAGTCAACTCAACTTATCAGTGGTTTTCTAACCGGCGTCAATCTTTTGTGACTGATAACTTGAAAACTGATATAAATGATAAATTTTTCACATATTTTTGTAGCTCTCGCTTTCATTATCGCCATCTAGTTAAAATGTAGTCATTCCTGGGAGTATTTTCAAAATCATCTCAACGACAGTCATATATTTTAACATTATGATCTGATGGAAACAACGAAACAACTGAGTAAGCTTATTAATGATGGGTAGTGGTTAGCAATGGAATCAAGGGTGTACGTCCTATCCTATTCCAGCGTCATCAGCTGGATGTCACTGCTTACCAGTGAGCGATTCTGTCGTTGAGTACACCGAAGGGATATTACAAGCAACGATATTAATAAAGTCAATTTGATGTCATATTTGCCTTCAGATATATTTTTCAGTTGAAGACCAAGTTTATGTTATCGAATTCTTTAATTTGTTTCATTTTAGGAAATAACTGAATATGAGCTAATGGACAAAGAGAGGTCAGAAAAAAGTCACAAATTTGATGTATTGCATCCAGTGGGTAAGATATTAATCTTATTGAACTACGAAACGCACCAGACTTATATGAATTTTACCCGGAAAAGGAATGTAAACGCCCCTTAGAATATACGTGGTTTCGTGTCGTTGAATTTGTGACTCATTGGTTAATGTTGATGACTTTCAACCAGCAGGCCATGAGTTCGAACCCCACTCCACCTACAGAGGTTTAGGTTGTGAGATAGTGATTAACCGTTGCACAATGCATGTGGTTCATCGCCAACCATACTTATATGCACACGTTTGCTGACAGTATTTATATTCTATTCAAATTCATCCTAGAATATACATCAAGAAAACAGAATATTGAGAATGATGATAAACTCTGATCTGATTCTAAAAAATTACCAGCTAACCTACAGTTATGGAGAAAAGATGTAACAGTTGAAGACGCTGACAAAATGCAGAGCAGTAATATGAGTCTTTCTGGATGCCATGCTATTCGCTAGCACCTATCAAATGTATAGTGATTCTCTATGACTGGTCTAAAACTATTCCCAGTTTATTGATAACAAGTGTAATGACTACTTAACTTACTTAGGAACGAAGCGGTTGCTGACAAAATGTCAGCTACGACATAGAAGGCTAACCAATAAACTGCGTTGTTTTCCTAGTACTGCTCAAGTTTCGTGGAATCACCGAGTAAGCAATGTTGAGGTCAAGTAAGGGGCAGTAAGCAAGATAGATGATTCCATGGATGAGGTTGTGGACTTCCTTTGGTTGAAATGGCTCGGACAAGTACTGCCGATGGTGAGTCATCGCCTACCTTCATATGTCATTTGACAGGAAGCTAGATTGGATTCAAAGAGGAATCAATGTGGCGAGACGAAGATGTAGCATCAGTTAATGAAGTCTCTTATTATTGATCGAAACCATGTAGGGAGATGTGGACTACCTCGTTGGAGACAGAGAAACCATAATAATCAGTGGTTAAATACTTTTAATGAAATGGCTAAAACATCGGTCACAATGGTGCAAATGCATTCGCACTAACCGTTATCTTCTAATTGTTTATTCTCCCAGACAACTTCGTGTGCTTTGATAACACTCTTTTTCTACCCCCCGTTCATTGCTTACTACTTTGAAGTGTGGCAACTTGAGCAGATGCACTTTTGTGCGAGGTTCTACTTTGACTTTATCTATTCCTGTCTATCTTAAGGTTTAGAAATGCCAAAGATTAAGCTGTGTATAGACCATGCAGTCGAAAGCATTGAAAATTATAGAAGGGCCTTCTGTAAATTACCCTGAGGTAACTAGTAGAAGGGACCATGTGTCCGATTATGATAAGGTGTTCAAGAATATAACTGTTGACACATCTTCCCTCTCATCTGAGAAGACAAGCAGGACAACTTTTTGAAGTAGACTTAAGAATTTGACGCTATGTACGGTCATTTTACTTACAGATGCATATTAAGGTCCCCAACAGTGGTTTTGTTTCACTGACTCATCGTCCAATTAACTGTCTGCTGAAAAATGAGACTTTCAAGTCAACTGCATGAAATTTTTTCATCAAAGATCTCGACAGGTGGCTTTGAATATTTCAACTACAATGTAGTCTATGGATTCCGGCTTAATGTAAACAGTCCTCTTCAGTGAAGTCGGTACCTTTTGCATTATTCACATTCGTTACATGTAAGAGTGAACGAATGTAAGTGGATAATAATTTTCCAGTTGGATGTTATACAGAAATCACAGCCCACTATCTAGTGTAGCTTCAGAATAGACCTATCAAATCCTTGAACATAAAGAACGTACCGGATTGTGTTGGTTGGTGAGATGGAGATAGCTTAAGAAACTGATAAACTGTTCAATCAATCCTAGGTTTACGCGCATACATCTCTGCAGAGGATTATCTAATCTTCTTGTCATTATCACATATACGAATAGGAATAACGAATTTCTTGGTTGTATTGCGTTCTCTGAAGAGCTGGATTGTTGAATCGTGAAGACGCTTTCATCATCTCGCTTCTACACAGTGACATCATCAACACTAACTTCAGTATGATGTGACCTGTCAATTTCTCTTCTCTCCATGACTGATTTAGTAGCTTGCATTGATGATGTGGTCTGTGATTGGTTATCTCCTATGATTGTTGTGTCATTGACTGACTGCATAGATTCGAATGTTAGCTGTCCCTATGCTCCAACCATGTTCACCTTTCTCATGGCTGTCTGTCTATCTGATGCCTATCTCTTATTGGTTGATACATTCGGTCTATATCTATACATCTGTTGATTGCTGACTGTCTGCCTGACTCCCTGACTGACTGGCTAATCTGAATGACAAGCTTCTAGCAATTCTCTCATGATATTCTTTGTATTTCCCCTCCCCATCCAACATTTCTACATTGTCCAAATTCAATTCATCTCCATACTTGTTATCCACATACATTGAAATGAGTGATGAAATGTTGTGTGTGACATTCAATAACCAATCGGTGTTGATGTAAATGACGAAGGTGAAGGTGGGTGACCACTTTCTCCTATGTAGTGTTGACTACAGTTATTCCAGTTGATTTTGTGAATGATATTCTGTTTGTCTTCTTTGGTTGTTGCATCCCTTTGCTCTGCACAATAGTGTTTGAAGGGAATTTGTTGATCAATGAGTGGTCATATGAATTGAAACAAGTGGTCTCAGTAATCTAGTTGTGATTTCTGATACATCTTGTTTATGTATGGTAGGATGATGCGTTTGTTGATTTGTGTTGATGACTTTGTAGTTGATGATGTAGATGATGGGCATGTTGTGATAAAGTTTTGTGTGTAGGAGTTCTTGTTTATTGTGGAGATGAAGTAATTTTGTTGGTTTCTCGGTGAATTAGTTGTACTGCACTGGTGTGTGTTCTCGCTCTTCTGAATAGAGTGTGCATGCAAGTGTATATATTTTGTGTGTTGTTGGGTTGTTGCTATTTTAGTTGATGATTGGATCAGTCAGTGTGTCTTCGCTTTCTGTACACTTGGCTTTCCAGCATGCAGGTATTTGTCCTATTGACTCAAGCATCCAGGAATGGTAGTTGATGAAACAGCAGTCAAACAACCAACTAGCATTTCTTCATGTTTTAGTCAGTATGATGAATGTTGTGAAGCTGGAAAGCCAAGTGTACAGGGAGCGAACACACACTGACTGATCAAGTCCTCAACTAGAATAGCAACAACAATCGAAGGAAACAACCAATCACAGACCACATCGCCCCAGCAAGCCACTACATGACTAACAGAGAGAATAGATATTGACAGGTGACATCATACTGAAGTTAGTGTTGATGATGTCACTGTGTAGAAGCGAGACGTCTTCACGACTAAACAATCCAGCTCCTCAGAGAACACAATACAGCCAAGACCATTCACCTGAGCTGCAAATATTCTACATTATTTTGAATATCGAATTTGTTTCCCATGAATGAACAGTAATGAAAGTGTCAAGGAGGTTGTTGAAATCAAATTCTCCTTTGTAAACAATGAAAATACTATCAATGTACACCTTGTTTAATTTTAGTTGACTGGCTATTGCATTAAACATGGCGACTTCAAGACAGTCTATGAAAAAAGAGTCTTAGTAAATTATTTATGAATTTCAAATTTTGATAATTTATGATTAGATATTTTTTGCATCGGACAAACTGTCTAAATCACTATACATAATGGGCGATGATTGAAAATGAAGTCATAATTTGAACCCAGGCCGGACTCGAACCAGTAGGTTTCTGGCTAAGTGAGCTTCAAGATCTGACTGTTGATCAAAAGTTTTTATTCCACTTCAATCACACACGAGGTTTTGTCTGACTACTGTATGAATTCATGACGCGTTACTACCCCTTGAGCATATTTACACTGGCTGCCCACCAGTCAGGACTTCTCTTAGCAATCCCAATCTAACCGGTGGTTGCTGGTTCGAATCCGTCCACAATCCAAATTTTCATTTCACCTTCAGTCATCACTCAGTATCAATACTAGTCTGCCAAACCATAGCTGCTATCTCACATCGTCAAAATGACAATCAATCAGTCAGGTAATAATAAAAATGTAGTGAATAGTTGAACCTCGTAGCTCAGTCGGTGAACCATAGAGCCGGAAACTTGATGGTTGCTGGTTGAAGTCCAGCAGCAGTTCGAAGTCTCATTTTATCGTCTATCATCACTGAGTATGAATACTAGTCTATCAAACTACAGCTGCTGTCTCAGATAGTCAAAATGACTAATTAGTATTCAAGAGCAATAGTTTCCTTGATATAATCAATAGATGAGACTCTAGGTTAATGTAGTTTTCAATTAACTTTTAACATTTTCATTTCATATGAGATGTCTCAAAGTCTGAACCTTGCAGAAACACTTTATTCATAATTTCATACAATTCCATGTTCTATAGTGCATAAAGGTAAAATAGTATATACGCTCCCTACCATAGATACGCTTATCCATGTAGCTTTTTGCCTAAGCGAGCGTAGGTGACAATGCACGACAATGCATGACCCAGTGGCTCAACGGTAACGCGCTGGTCGCGGAACCTAAAGGTCGCGGGTTCGATCCCTGCTGGTGGGGTTGTGGGTGCGCACTGCTGAGGAGTCCCATACTAGGACGAAACAGCTGTCCAGTGCTCCCAGGTTTCCTTTGTTCCTCCACCTGATGTCAGTCTTCGATGAATAACAACTTGAAACGCACGGCTTAACGTGTGATAAAACCATATGATTATTGGAAAAAGTAAGTCAACTGAGTGACTCTAAAGGCCAATCAGATTTCTACATTTTATGAAAATCTGCTTTTTCCGCCGAAATACAAAAATCTAATTGGTTATTTTAATTATGGCCAAGATGGTGTTTAAAGTGGCTACTATTTAACTATCTTAGCAGTTGCTCAAGTGATCACATTTCCCAAAGAGTGATTTTAAAGGCAACCAATAAGGTTTTAATATTTTATGAAAAACTACCATCCTAGTCGTAATACCGAAACTTGATTGGTTGCTACAGCTGTTGCTAGGATGGCTTCT